AAAATTGGGAAGAAAATCATAAAAGCGCTGTAGAAAAAAACATGTCACCTGTTTTTATATTCCTTATTATTTTTATCATTTTTATTTATTTTTATTATTCCTAATTTACGTGAGTACAATGGTTTAGTGGTTTACTCCGATACTGGGGTTCTTTTTTTCGCAGAAGTAAACCTGTCCAAAAATCCGGATGGTGCTGGCGACTCACGAGTATTTCGTCCGTCAAGAGCATATTTACCCAGTGCGACAATTCAGCGAAGCGAGTTTAACCAGTAATGGTGATGACTCCATAAAAAAAGAAATTCATGGCCGACCACGTGCATAATGTTATTAATCTGAAAGAAACTAAATAAAATAAAATTAAAGTTTTCTCCTAGAAACTATTACACTTTTTTCAAATATGCATTTTTTAAGCATATCTAATTGCTTTTCTCATAATGTTAGCCAACAACATCTTAACTTTTCTAATTTCTATATGATAAATAAAAATAATTCTAAATATTGTTCCGCAAAAACTTGTAAGAAATCTCTATAGATGTGAAAACCAACTACTACCATTTGCCTCTATTCGGCAACCTTCTTCATTTGCGACAATTTACCACATCCATTTATATATACATAATAATATATAATAATTTATATATATATATATATATCAAGCTCTCTCCGCTGGCTTGTCGCAATTAGGCGATGTGCCAAGGAATTACTTGGCGATAGAAATACAGGTGAGTCGCCAGCATCACCCGGATATACAAGTTTACCCCTGCAGAGAATCGAACCTCAGATCTGGTTTCAGAGGAAATTAAATATATGGAAATTAAATAAAAAATATTTTCATATTCTCTCATATTCATATTCATACTTTTATAATATTTTTGCTCTCCCTCCACTCAACAAAATATGTAAATATTTGCTGCGAATAAATTTCCTTCATAGGTTGCAACAACCATTATAATAATTATAACTATTAGTACTATTACCTCCATTAATTCTCCATTTTTTTTATATTTCAAGTTTTTTTTTTTAGTACCATTATTAGTACTAAAAATCACATCCTTAACAATAATTATATTTTTCATACTTTATCACTCGATTTACACCTTTTTTAAATTTTTGAAATAGCGTTCGATGGTGATGGGAGAAAGGGAATTCATAAAAGATCCTTTATTCAACATTGAACTCGAAATTTAGACAATTTTTTAGAAATAAAAGATATTTTATCAATATTTTTTTATGAACTTCTGCAACGAAATTTATTGTTTCATTTATTGTATCGTGTTATTCGTGTTCCAATAAGGTTTCCTTTAGCATGAGGTGGATTGTAGTTAACTCCTCTTTGATTCTGCAATACAACGAATATATTATATGATTGCTTCTTAACTAAATTTGTTTGCCAAAATATGGAAGTTTTCTAAGGGATTCCATCGATGATTGTTAGCTTAATAAAAGCAATTTCTCATTGTGCAAATAATACAAAAAAAAAATACCGCAGCTCCCTGGGACTTGACCAGTTCCTAAAATATTTAATATTTATATTTTAAATATTTAATAAACAGAAATATGTATAAAAATTAAAATAACAGAACAAATATTTTCAATAAAATAAAATGCGATAAATAATAAGTAAAAAAAATTATTTTTTGCACAGAAATATGTCCAAAAATTCATGAAATGTTTCGCTTTTTTAAAGTTTTTTGCAAGATTTTGTGAAGCAATTATTCGAATTATTGCTAATGGAAATGATTGGTATAAAATGAAATATTAAATTTGGTGTTTAATAATAAATTAAAATAACTCACAGTGGAAAGCATTAAAGTTGCGATAATGAAGGCGATGAAGAATGACACAGAAAGCACTTTCATGTTTTATCTGCAAACCTATGAAAAATGGTGATAGCCATTTTATTAATATTTCGGTTTATAAGTTATTTCCTTTTAAAAGATGTGAAATGGAGTAAAACTGATGAATTTTATAGTATTCCGCATTCAATATTCGTTGGCTGTGACTAACAAGGACTGAGAATTCTAATAAATATATAATTTTGACGAATGTTTATTTTTTTTTACCAATTTTAAAATCATTTATATAATATTAATATTAATTAATCATAAAATCATTTGTATAATATTAATAGTAATTAATTTTATTGTTAACACCTATAGGAGTTATAAAAATAATAAAAAAAAAAGGAAAAGCATTCGTGAAAGATGATAATTGATAGAAAAGATACCGATTGTGCTTGCCCGAAATCCCTTTTATATGCTTTTTATTTTCGCAGTAATTTTGTTTTTGATGAAGAAAACAAATTCCATGCATAGTTGCGTTACCCTTAATCTGCATTTCATCAGCTTTCCTTTGAATATTTTGCTTTTGCTTCATTTATTTTTGCTGGCTCTTATCAGATTTATTGCATTTTTTTCAAATAATAAGTGGTTATGTTGTTTTGTTTCGTTTCGCTGATAAGGCAGTTAGTCGAGCAAGCGATACTGTAGCGATGATAAGATGTAAGCGAATAATCTTTGTTTTGGTCAAATCGATGAAACAAAAGTAAAGGATAACTTTCATTTAGATATTTTTAACGCTGATAACCTATAAAGCGATAGGCTGGCAGATTCCGATTTTGATATAATCATCAGATTATCTCTGTTCATGATGCTTTCACAAATGTTCACAGATTTTGAAATAGGGTATGTTTGGTTGATTTTGTGATTTATTGAGTTGTGCATGAGCGTTGAAGTAAAAAATTTGGAAGATGTTCTTTTGCATAATTTTGCTTTTAATAAAAAGATACCTTTTCTGGCATTCTAAGATTACGGAGATTATAATGAATTTTAAGAATGTTTGGTCGAATCGCACCGTATTCCGGAGAACCGGAGAACGTAGTTCAATTAACACTAAAAATCTTTTTGATTCTGCAAATTTTTTAATAATTTTCAGCAGCCAATGACATGGAATTCATTTATAAATTTTTAGGAATTTCTTCTTACAAATAATAATTTAATATTTATTTACAAAATTACAACTATTCATTTAAAATTTCTCATTTAATAATATAATATAAATAAAATATAAAAATAATAATAATATTAATAATAAAATATAAAAATAAATAAAAAATATTAAAATTAATAAAGTTATATTTGTTATATTAATATTTGATTTTTGAAGTATTAAAATATTTCATCATAAAACTTGTGTGATTTTTCAAATCGAATCCAATTAAATCGTTTGTTTTAAATTTAACATCGATTGAAATAATGCAATAATAATGCAATGTGGTTTATATTTCTCTTGAAAAGGAATTTTTTTGTGAATGATTATTTTGATGTGTGGTACGAGTCGATATAACTGATAACAGTTTGTCGAATATCTATACAATGATAATTGATAAAGCTATAGAAACAAATAGCAAAGAAGAGAAGAGACATTTTGGATGATTCGTTGTGAAATAAGCAGCTGACTTAAATGATAATTTTAATCCACGAATGTTCACATATTTATTTGACTTGCAAATTATGTAGCTGATATGTCCACTTTGCAAGCGATTATTTATAATAATACTTCAATGATTACCTTGAAAATTCTGTATTCTTTAATAAAAATGTGAATTTAAAGGCAAAATGGTGGAAGAGTTAATAATTATTGTTCAAATCACATGCGATTTTCTTTCTTTTCACCTCTATTTTTACTGAATAAAACAAATTCCATGCATTGTTTCCTTTGTTTTATATTTGGATATTTTCCTAAATAATGATATTTTTCGCTGATTATCATCTTACTGTCATGCATGACATTTTAGTTTGGCTGCTAGAGGCTTATCAAAGAAGCAAAAAGAATATTTTCAACAAATAGCACAGGTGACCATTTCGGATGCACCGGCAAAGATTTAAATAATATGATGTAAATGATAATTTTAATTTAGCAATATTTGATCAGTGGAACAATAGTGAAATAATCAATCAACTCTTATTTTTCCCTAACACTATTTCACCATTTCTGGTATCAAACTTTGTTGCATATTAGTTAGCAAAAGATGTTTTCACCAGATGACAAAGCTTCATGCATTATGTGAAATTAATTCTAAGGATCATTTATAAAAAATTGTAAAAAAGCTCCGCGAATGCGAAAAACCACAACCCACTTGCCAAAGTTCTCACAAAATAATTTTCATATCATTTAGACAATATCATTTAGACAAAGATTCAGCTTCTTTCTCTTGCATATCATTTAAATTTGGCTACGAAAATTCCTCTTCGCCTCTTATTGCAATTGCAATTTCGGACAACTGAAAATTTCGTATCGGACACTGTTAAATGAAATGGTCATCTTTACTCATTTTAAATGGGTCAGCAAGTTTTACGATAGCCAAAAATCTCGTAAATGGTTAGCAATCTTCTCCGTGTAGAATTTTCGTAATATTTCCTCGTGCTCAATTGCTATAATTTTTTTCTGTAAATAAAAGAAATAGATTAGGAGAGCCACATGTCCTTTGTTCTCAACTTTCAGCATTGAATCACCGCATCAAAAGATTGGAACTGATTTCTCAAAAACATCCAAGCCATCAAATTTCAACAAAAATTTCCTGGACTGAGTTCTTAAATGAATTTGCTAAACCTGAAAAAAGCTCAAAAAATAATTATAGCGACTTAAAACAACCTGAAGGAAGAGAAATCTTGGATGCTCTTCAACCGTTTTTGTTTTTTTTTGCATAATTTTGTTTAAATTAAATTGGAATTTAATTTGATAATCTTTTTCCGTTAAGTTTTAAGGCGTCTTTATATGGAAATTATATGGAAAGCTTATTTTCCAAAAAAATTTAAAGTTAAACTTATATGGTGATGAACGAGGACAATGAAGCTATTCAGATTTAGGTATAAGTTTCGGCTGAAGCGACTACATTAACGTAACTTTTATGGAAAAAAAACTTCATATTTTTTGTACCGTTTATTGCATAAGAATTAGGGAAAAATATACAATACAAAAATTTTATGCACTTTGAATTTTCATATATTTTTACGCCTCATCCTCTTCTTTTTCGGATACCAGGAATGCCTAAAAGAGCCTTTCTTTTTAATAGCTTCTAACGATTTTATTTCGTTGAATTTCTTTTTTTGCCTAGCTTGGAATTCAATATCAGCCAATAATTCTTCTGCTATCGTTCGTTTACGAGCTTTCTTTGGAATACGCGAAGAATAGAAATCAGCTTTTGATTCAATAATAGTTCCAACCTGAACGAATAATGATGAATAATAATTTAATATAAATTACACCGGATGGAAAAGACTAAAGGGTTAGATAAAGGTTAGAAAAAGTTAAGTAAAAAAAATCAAGAGAAGAAATGTGATAAATCCAATTTGGACTTTAAACGGACTGCATTTTATAAAATCGCGAATTAAAAAATAAAGGAATAAGGTGAAGAGCTATAGGATAAAACTTGGTCAAAATGAGGAATTTCCATTGATAAACCAAATTCAATTAAAATTCAACAAAACGAAGGATTATAACATTAGATAATAAAATGGTTTCAAAACTATAAAAAATGAAAAGAGTAAAGTTAACCTGAAAAAATTTTGGCAACGTTGAATGATCACTTTTCCTGTACCTCGCTTTTTCATCGATTGTATCTCTCATTTGCAATAATTCCAAATCACGTCGACGTTCTTCGGTTAATTCAGTAGCAGGCATATTAAACCAACTAACACCTTTTGTTCGCTCTCGTTCAATCTTAATATTATTTAGATAAATGATAGAAAATTATTAGATAAATGATAAAAGGAATAATTAATAGAAAAAATGAGTTCACCTTCCTCATACGTTTTGCCGCTCCTGCAGACAATGGTACAAATCCTTCACCGAGAATTTTTTCAAAACCTGGCCGAATAATACTTTTTTCCAACAACTGAACTTTTAATGTTTAATGGAAAATAAAACAAATAAAAGAAATAATAATAAGTAAATGAAAACGAAAAAAAGAACATAACTAAAAAAATTCAATTTTGTTTAATTATATTAACTATTTCAAAAGTAAACCTATTACAATATTGGATGATGAATAATTTTTCTCGATAGAGATTGTATTATCTTATCAGACATATTTTGAAACTTCGTATAAATATTAATTAACGGTGGAAAACATAGAACAGTACTAAAAAAATGATTTATTTTTCACTAAATAAATTACCTTTTTAGTCGATTCGTCGTAAATTTCTGAAGTATTCCATGTAATTCCATGTTTATCACTTATTTCACGTTTATCATCTACTATTTTTTTAGATGAGTTTAAATGAGTTTTTTTCTTCTTCCTAGAATTTCTTTTTGTCGACTCCTCAAATTCGAAGTTATTATCAGACTTATTCGCCGATCCATCAATAACGAAACAATCTGTATCAATTTTTTCCTGAAAAGGAAGAAGTAAAAATGCGAGGCAAACTCTATTAGAATGCCCATTAGACAGGATGTCCAGTTAAATAAAACAAATGATATGTTGAAGCTTATAGGAATATGGCCAAGTAATCTAATTTTCTTGCGCAGATATAACGTAAAATTTTGCCATTTCACTAATAGCCGCATTCAAGCAGCCTCAATGAAAAAACGTGCTTGACAAAGAAGTAATTCATCAACTGAACTGTTAAATGTTAAATGACAATAAATGTTAAATGACGATAAACTACGATATACCCAATCTCTGCCAATATGACCCAATATGATGCAAACTTTTTCTGGTTTCAGATTTTACTTTGAATTTTATTTTGAATGACAGATTCAATATAACACATACCAGAACTCGAATTCTCCTCGAAGACTATGGTCAACTCGAAAAACTATCAACCAGATTTCCCGGATTTTTATCCAATAAACTTTCACTTTTTCTACACCTTCTCCAGAGAAAAATATTTTCAAAAAATAGGATCATGAAAATGTCCTCCTCGAACAGTCCGAAGAATCAAAAAGCTCGACTTTTATGCAAATGGAATAAAATCATCTTTATCACACTGCCAGAATATTCATGTGATGACTTGTTTTAAATATTTTCAATAAAATTAAGCAAACGACAAAACAGCGAGAACCTTTCGATCGACCGAATAAAAAAAAATTTTTCGATAGATGTAGAAAAGATGAAATTGAAAAAGATGAACAAACCTTAAGAAAAGATGAACAACGGAAATTTACAACTTTTACTACTTCTTTATTTTTTGAATGTCCTTCATCATCATCGGAATCAGAATCATGCGAAATACGTGCTGTATCACTAATTAATGGAGGAAATAAAAGCGGTTTACGATTTTTGACATTTGCCATTAAACGACTTCAATATTTCGCCTAAAACTATGTGATTAACCTATCATATCAGCGATAAGATTTTAAAATAAAACCTAATAATATAAAAAAAAGAATGGATATTTTTTATTCTATTGACTTGGACAATCTAACGCATAAAGCTCATTGGTTAAGGAATAATCTTAAACTTTAAAGTGGAAAATAGAGAAAAATCTAAATGAAACCTAAGCAGAGGAAGAAGAAGAAACTTGGAAAGCAAAAAAAGGCCAATGATATGGGCTTCGAAAGAGGAAAAAAGAGTGGCTTCGGTTATGTTTAATAATGGCTCCGCACCGACAGCCATATGAACGTTTTATCGTTTCAAATCAAAAATTCGTTTTTGATGGAAGCAAATTATAACAGGAAAAAAATCACAGGATAGAATGAAGGAGGAACAAATAGATAATAATAATGATTAATGAAGGAACAACAATGGATAGAGAAAAACGAAGAATGAGGAAAGGAAAATGAAGAAGCCAAAAAGAAAATAAAAAAGACACAATATTTCTTGGTGAAACAATCCATTTGCTCCAACATACCAAACTAACACCGTACGCACCTTATATTTCTAGTTAGAACAGTAACCAAGGACCACTCATTAAAAAAGACCGCGACTGATAATTAGTTAATGTGGCAAGGGGTCGCAAAATCGCTGCTGCGGCCACTGACCATTGCAGCACGTTGTATTTTCATAATTGGTCTCAAACTTCATGTTCGAGAGGGTTTTTTTCTCGCTAAGTTCTTTTGAGTTGGTTGCGTCTTAGCAAATTTTACATTTCATATTCATTAATAGACAAAAGAAGATGGAATACTTTTAAAAATTTCTCTATTTTCTTCTAATAACTTAGTTTTGGTTTTTCTGGTTCGATTAAATCCACTGACTACTGAGGTGAATGGTGCTTAATCAGTGACCACCTGGAAGCAGAAAGTGGGCCCTCAGTACCACTCGGATTCTATTTCATCCCGTGAATAGGTAAAAATCGATCCTATGACACCTAACGTCTGACGTAATATACCAGTATCCACGGCAAAATCCCTCACTACTAGTGAGTTCCAAACAGTCCGAACTCTCTGCACGTGTCTCTCACATGTCCTCCTTTTTTTCTTCTTCAGGAATTTCATCCCATTCCAAAAAGCTAAAACGAAATCGGATAATTTCGTTCAAATTTTGGTGTAAATTATTGGATTATTGGATATAAGGTTAGTTCGGATAAAAACTGACGAAATAGTTCCGATATGCGGGGCCATATAAGCGAAATATTAACGAAAGATCGATGTGCCTGAGGCTGAATAAAACGGTTTTCTTGCGGAAGGAAGCATTCGCTGAAAAACTGTTTCCATTTATATCCAAAGACTGTTTTTCCAGAAGTAAAAAAAAATTCTTGATTTTGACATTTGATTTATGTGGTCTGTCGTCTCTTCGAGAAATATTTTCAGTCTAAGACGGTTCATCATTTCTGGTAAAACTTGCGTTTCTTGGAGCAGAAGAATTTTTCCAGGGAGTCCTTAGCGATATATGAGTCGTCGTCAGTATTGCCTGGTTTTATTGGGAGGGCAGGTCTAAATCTGGATTTCTGAAAAACAAGCTTATCTCTGTGGGGTGTGGTATCGGTGCTGCAAAATCTGAGCAAAACCTCACTGAGTATTCGTGCGTTATTTTTTGCTTATTGTTTTGCACTTATTTCTTAACTTTTAGCTCTTATAATTGTACATTTAGTTGTTTATAAGTTAGGTGAATAGGAGATGCTTTAGGCGATGTTTTTGTTCTTCTAGTTTGGCTTCCTCCATTTCTAACTAACTAACTAACTAACTATATTAGGTTGAAATGCTGTAATTATGGGCCGAAATACTTTAGCCAGAAAAATTAATTGGAGATACGAGTACGCCTAGTGGTATTTTATTGGGATAGTTAGTTATATCAATGAAAGAAATATTGGAGATAAATTATGTGAGCGATTATTCTCATATTATCGTCCCTAGCGTCAAATTTTTCGAATCTTAGAGTAATTCTGTTGTTAAATCTCTCGTGATGCTAATGGAGAGAGAACCTATCTATGCTTTTATCCTCAGGTCATTTCCAACAATTATCAATAGCCAGTGGTGCCAGAAATGACGATACTATTTTTGTAATTATCCGGTTTTATGAAAAGAAAAAGTTTTAGTTTTATGCGTGCCTTAGTTGGAGTTAAGCGTGTCATTGATTACGCGGTGAAAATTCGTGTAAAACCGGATAAAACAGGTGTTATTCATGAGAATGTGCAGAATTCAATGAATCCTTTCGATGAAATCGCTCTAGAAGAAGCAGTTCGACTTAAAGAAAAAAATGTTATAAAGGACATAGTTGCTGTTTCACTTGGACCACCAAAAGCTCAGGTTTTTCATATTAAGTTTCTTCTTTTTGTTTTAAATTTTAATTTTTTTTTAAAATTTGATTCAGAATTGAACTTTATTTTCCCTGGAAAATACGAAGCATATCCCACAAAAGAGATTTCTGAAATATTATTTCAGAAATATTATTTCACTTGTCTTAATTTAATTTCAGGAAATCTTGCGTACTGCTTTAGCGAAAGGTGCCGATCGTGCCATACATGTTGAGGTCGATGATAAAATCGCTGAAAAAATTGAACCTTTAAATGTCGCCAAAGTATCTTATAAAAAAATTTTTTTTTGAAATTTTTCAAAATTATTCGCAATATTTAAAACTTTTTTTTATACTTTTCTTGCTTTTTAAAAATTATTTTCATTATAGGTGATCGCAAAAATTGTACAAAACGAAAAAATTGATGTCGTTTTCGTTGGTAAACAAGCTATAGACGATGATTCTAATCAGACTGCTCAAATCTTGGCTAGTTTATTGGATTGGCCTCAGGCTTTATTTGCAAGTAAAGTTGAACCAGAAGGTGATACATTTAAAGTCACTAGGTGAGATTTTTATCAAACTTTTGTTTGCAAAACTAAGAACTTTTCGAACTATTACCTTTAAAGCTCTTATTTTGAGAAAATAGCACGCTGAATACTGATGCTAAAGGTTATAAGATTATTGTGTATCACTAGTGAAATTGTATTAACAGTGATTGAATAAAAATAGTTGAAAAATGAAAGATAAGCTATAAATTATACGATCTTTTACCGATATTTTCCTGCTGGTAACGAGATAAGGAAGAATATCTTAGAATAATCCACAATAAATTTTATAAATTTTAATAAATTACTACTTAATAATTAAGTGTAAACTTTGCAGAGAAATCGATGGTGGCCATGATACAATTCGTGTTAAACTTCCTGCTGTAATAAGCACGGATTTACGATTGAACGAACCACGATATGCGACATTACCAAATATCATGAAAGCAAAGAAGAAACCATTAGAGAAAAAAACACCAAGTGATTATGGTGTGGAAATTATTCCACAGACGGAAATTCTGGAGGTGAATTTTCTACAAACTTTTTTGTCGAGACTAGAGTTAAGGATTTCTATGTTTTTGGCAACCTGGTAAAACCTATGGACTCTATCTTTCAGCTTTTGAGTTTACATGCATTCGTATATACAAACTTAATAAATAATAATGCAGTGGAATAGAAGAATATTATAATATTATTATAAAATGTAAAGAAAATGTGATTTAGAAATGCAGACAATTTTTGCCATCGGCAAAATCTCAAGTGCTTCTAATATTGCTGTGGTTAATACTAAGTTTATTAATATATCTTTATCCCAACTATTAGAAATAATGGTGATTTTTTTCTCATCCAAATTCATTACACACCAAGAGACTTCGGATAGGTCCATCGTTTACAGTTTATAGTTTACAATTTAAGAACATTTGCTATATATTAATTTTTAACCCATCGCAATTTCAAAAAATCCTAATTATAAAGAAGAATTTGAAAAAAAGCCTCTATTTAAAAAATCATGCTAACGTTGAGAGGTGGTAAACTTTTTTTTTAACGAAGGTATCTATGCTTAACGTAAATCCTGCCTATTTTATCACCATTATTATTACAAATTGCCACCATTATTTTCAGGTCACTGATCCACCAGTTCGTCAAGCTGGAGTTTTCGTCGATGATGTTCAAATGCTGATCGCAAAACTTAAGGAAAAAGGTGTTTTAAAACAATAGCTTTTACATTTGTCTAGAATTGACGGAAGAAAATGAAATAAATAGCAAAAAATTATTTCTTTTATTATTAATTTGCACTTTGTAAAGGATTTTATTTATTTGCCATAAAAATTTAAAATAATGTTTTTTTAAATTTTTCAACTCAAAAATTTATTCTTTGTTTAAAATGGATTTTTTTATGAGTATTTATTTTTATATGAGATTTCATTTATTATAAATCTCATCTCGTTTATTTTACTGGATTTTTTCATATTTTTCTACAATTGTAATTATTTAATCGAGTAAAGTAAAGCAATGAAAATGCATGTTATATTGTAAGTGAATTTTTTCTTTATTCAACACTCTCTTAAAATATATTTTATAAAATTAGATAAAAATTGTTTCTTTATACTTTCTTAATAACGTTTAAATATTTAATTGTCAATGTGTAAAGGTTTTTTGATCAATTTTTAATAGTTTTTTTTTTTTAAATTCTAGCAATTAATAAAAGAAAAATATGTCATTTACTTACCAAGTTTATGACTTTGGCCGATTATCGCAGGGGCCACACTTCGCAATTCCAAATGATCATCCAAAAGCGGGCATTAAGTGATGCAGCGAAGATTTATCGTGAAATTTAAGAGCTTGCAAAGTCCGAATAGTTATTTGGCTTGGATATCGCCAGTCATTATTCCAATACCCAGTAGATAAGATGCCCAAGATGCTCTCTACAACCAATTCGTAGTACGAATCTAAGTTCCACGTTCAGATGCAATTCTCGTCGAAAGTTCACAATCGCGTCGATCGTGAAAGTCCGAATTTCATCAATGGCGAACCTCCTTCGACGATGAGCCGAATTGGGCCTTTTTAATGTATGGGCGCGAACCTTCTTTTTTTGCAACTTTTTTCTTGTTTTTTTCAAATTTTTTAAATTTTTTTTGAGTGTTTTTTGTTATTTTAAAGTTTTTTTCGTCTTTCAGAGTTGTTTAACGTAAAATTTCGAAAAAAGATTCGCAATTTTTCACTATTGAAAAGTTGTAAAATTTTTTAAAAATTCGTTAGGGCAATGAGAAATTCAAATTTAAAAATTTCAAATTTTAAGATTTTTAATTTGACAAAAAAATGTTTTGAAAAATAATTATAATTGAAAATATAACAATAATAATAAAAATAAATATAATAAATATAATAATAATAAAAATAATTATAAATTAATTATAAATGTATTATTTTTTTGAAAATTTTTGAATTTAAAAAAAAAAACAATTTGAATGAAATAATTTAGAAATAGTTTAATGCGAATTAAAAGAGTCGAAATTGATGGATTTAAATCGTACGCTCAGCGACAAATTATCGACGGATTCGATGCGCAGTTCAACGCGATTACCGGTTTAAATGGTTCGGGCAAATCGAATATACTCGATGCGATTTGCTTTGTTTTAGGAATATCGAATCTTAGTCAGGTGAAATAATTTTTAAATTTCTTTATTATTTTCATAGAAAATTATAAGAGATTTTATTCACTCAACTTATATAAAAAATTTAATTTAATACTATAGCGAATAAAGAAAAATAAAAAAAAAAGAAAAAAAAATGAACTCATAGGGAAATAAATAAGTATTAGTATTACATGCGTTTTTATGGTATTTCAGCTAGTGAAACAGATAAGAAACTTGGAAAACGTCGGACAGTAATTGCAGAGTTTAAAAAATCACAATAATTACGGGCTCTAGTCATTCCCTTCAGTTTTATTGCTATTGTATGATAAGATTTTAAGTTAGGTCTTTTTACTATAAATAAAGAGGTGAAAAATTTTTATTTTGGAAAATATTTCATAATAATTCGCTATTAAAAGTTGCCACTAGATTTAAATGATTTAATGAGCTGTGAATAGTTGACAAAATTTGTTATCGTTTTTGTGCATTTGATGTTCAAGTATTGCAATTTTAAAATATTTTTTCACGTAGTTAGTAGTACTAATAAATGGTCTTTATTAACCGTATAGGGATCAGACTGTTGTTAAGAGTAATAATTCTTCAACAAGATGAATGAAGGAGTATTCGGTGCTATAAATATTAAATATTTTTAATTCAGTTCAAGACGATCATTTGGAAAATTAGAGATTATTGATGCATACTTTAAGCCATTCATCGAGATGTTAGTTAAGCTTCTACGTTTATGTTGATATGCGATTTCCTTCAGTCATTTATTCTTGTTTATATTCTTTATTTGTTTTGAACGAATTTATTTCTAGATCCGCTAGGTGATCGGCAACACCTGTAATGTTATATTATACATTTCTGATATACCAAAGATTAATTGAAACAGATAAAAGTAGATATAACGTAATATTCTTTTAAATACTTGTCAGAAAAAGTACAAGCTAAAAATTAAGGAATTATATTGAATTTTTGTTATTTTTTATTTGTTTATTATACATTATTATATGTTTAAAAATATATATCATAAATATATATAATATATTTCGAAATATATATATATATATATATTTATGCGAAATATATATTTTCGCATTGTCCTTAATTTTTGAGGTTCGTGCTGCCCAACTTTCGGATCTTGTTTATAAGCAAGGGCAAGCGGGAATTGCAAAGGCTACTGTAACAGTTACTTTTGATAATACAGATCCTTCAAATCGACCAGTTGGCTATGAAAAATATGAAGAAATCGTTGTTCGAAGACAAGTCGGTTTAAAATTTCTGTTTCAAATGTTTTTTTCCTAGAGGTTTAATTATTGCTAATACGATTTTTCTTTCTTTATTCTGAAACCTTTTTACACTTTCTTATTCACATTCGGTTATATTTTTATTTATATTTATTGAAAACCAGTCAAGAAGGGCGATAAACGCCGTATGATTGTATTAATAACTTCTTCTTCTAACAACTCTCACCATTACTGGTTAGGCTGGCTTCAACGGCTACAAGAGTAAGACGCTTCCAACCGGCGCGGTCTGATGCCATCGTCGACAGTAGTAAAAGCCATTCCTTTTACCATCGTCTGAGTTCATATACTGCTGGTCCACCAATCTTTCCTAACCGTATCAGTCCAGGTCTTATTGGCTCACCTCGCTTTTGACGCTATCCATCACAAGGTTTAACAAGTAACGAAATATGGGACAACTCTTGAATGATGACGTGCTCTTACCACAGAAGGCAACACTCTGTGATAATATTACTAATACAGGTGATGGTGTTTGAAAGAAGGTGGATGGGATCACGTGATATTCTATCCGCTCGATGGAGCCGTAAAATATACCTTAGATAAGAGTGGTCACATGTGGATAGCTTTTTAATATCCTCCATTCTTATTGGCCATGTCTCAGAGACATATAGAAAGAAACATATAGATATAGACTTTCGTTTTAATGGTAATTTCACGACGGCTCCATAAAGGTTTCGTCAACCTGAAGAACCCATTTCTAGCTGCCGTGATCCGGGCTACAATACCATCTTTTGCCTGGCCATTTGGTATTAGAGTGGACCCAAGGTATTTAAAATCGGGCACTTTCTCGACCGATAATGAATTTACAAAAAGAGGCATTTTATCAGTTTCTTGCACATAAGACGAAAAAACTTTCATTTTGCGTACTTTCCTCTGAGTTCTATTCTGCAGTTTTTCTCACATTATTTAGCATTACTTGCAATTCATCATAACTGTCAGCAAAAAGTACTATATTATCAGCGTATTCAAGACCTAATACGATGATACGATGCTCTGAATTGATTTGGACACTCCTTGAATTCCGACAAGCCGTGTCCATTATCCAGTCTATCGCATAGTTGAATATTGTAGGGGGAAGGACGCACTCTTGACGGACATCAGTTCTTATTTCGAAAGAACCTGTCACTTCCCCATATAAATAGACCTGCGCCGACGTACGCTCATGAAATACCTTTATTAATAATTATAAATAATAATAAATAATGATAAAAAGGAAAAAGAAAATGTGATAAAAATTAATAATTTAAAGAGAAAATAAAGATAAAATTATAAAATAGTGTAATATAATGCAATTCGAAGTAATTGTATAATACATAATCGGTAGGTAAAAATCGAGATTTCATATTTCTTGCATGAGGTGAACTTTTTAAATAATATCATAAATGATATTATCTAATCTTTCTTCAAAGATAGCTAGGGATTGCGCATAAGTTGTATCGTTAATTTATTCCAGTAATAAATGTTACGAATAAAGAAGTGATGAGTCGTCCTCAGTTTAGTTGTACATACACATAGGTTTTAGTAATTTTAGCCCATTAGTTCTTATTGGATTCAAATTTAGCTTAGAATTATAATATTTGAACAATCTAGTTTAAAATCCATACAGGATCCTATAAATATAAATTAAATCTTGTTTAATACGATGAACTGACAGAGATCCAGGTTATATTGTAGAAGTTTTATTTTATAATTAAAATTGCAATTAGAGGCATCGTATAAAATATTTTTAGAGACCTTCAATTATTTACCTTAATTTACGATATCTCAGGGAGCAACAGGTAGTATTGTAGTCAGGAAGAGGCTGAACGAACGCTTTTTACATTTTGATAAGAAAACCTTCAGTTTGTTCTTAAAAAACGAAAAATAAAATTTAGCAACTTCGAGGATTTTTTTATCATGGCTCTGTAGTGAAGGTCGAAATCCAGATTTTAATCCAAGATTATTCCAAGATCGGAAATATTTGAGACTCTTTTAATTATATTACCATTAAGAAAATATTGGTTTAAAATATTTTAAATATTTGTTTTGGTTTTCAGCATTTATTTTTATTTTATTGGGAGTATTTTTTTCAATATTTTTAATTTTTTTCATTTTTTTAGATCATAATAAATGGTCGAAACACTTATACTTTAAATGGCACCGCTGCTACCAATAGTCGAGTGGCCGATTTATTTCGATCAGTGGGACTCAACGTTAATAATCCGCATTTTCTTATAATGCAAGGTCGTATCACTAAAGTTTTGAATATGAAGCCTATGGAGGTATTAAAATTTAATGGTGAACGTATTTTTTTAAAATTCTCTTGTACTTTTTAAATTATTTTGAAGTGAATGTCTGCCAATACAGATACTGGGAATGATTGAAGAAGCCGCTGGTACACGTATGTATGAAGCGAAAAAACAAAGTGCTTTACGAACCATCGAAAAAAAAGAAGGCAAAATGGCTGAAATCAAGCAGGTATGAAATTCTTTCAGCCTCATTTGGTGTTCTTTTTCCGATTTTTAGATTTTTGTTTCAGTTTTTTTGGTAGTTTTTGTGTTATATTTGTAATTCATTCAATTTGAGGTGATGGAAGAAGATATACTTCCACAAGTGGAAAAACTAAAGCGAGATCGCTGCGATTATTTGGAATATCAGCGAATCGATCGTGAAGTGGAACTTTTGGAACGAAAATTAGTTGCTTTCGATTTTTTAACTAGTCAGGTATAATTTTTCCTTTTTATATGCTAATCTAGTTTTAATCACTCTTAAAATAAGAAGGGTAAATTTTCAAGAAGTTAGAAAGAAAAGTGAAATATACAGACTTTGGTCCACTCTTAAAGTCAAATGGCCCAATATTTAGAATGGATTTATTCATTTAGTTATTGTGGTTTTAGATATTTTTTATCATTCCGACCTAGGTTTATCACTCGTAATAATTTCATTTAATTCTTCGATCTTTTTTGCTGGATTTTTCTATAGATTTCGATTATTTTTTGGTGTTAAAGAGGTCCTTTAAATCGAAAATCGAAAATGGTAAACGATAAAAATTATTACCATAAAACCCATTAAAAAGTAGTCTTTTATTTTGAATAAATAACTTTAGTCACGTTCTTGTAAGCTTGAGAAAGCAATAGAGGAAATACTGGAAGAAATTGGCAATAATGATGCATTCATTGACGAAAAGAAATTGCAACTAACGAAAAAAGAAGAAATGTTGAAGGAATTGGAAGAGGACAGAGAGAAGGTAAAAACCAATTTCAAGGATAAATCATATTATGAATATTAATAGGCTTTATCTTTATTATTTGTCTAAATTTAGCAGAAAAAATGATGCAAAAGCAAATCAAAAGCCTTATTTTGCATAAAAATTGAAAGATCAAAAAATAAAATTTTTAAAAAAAGAAAACATTTGTAAATGCGTTTAATGTCAGAGATATGGTGATCGGAGAAAATCGATAGAACATCGCGTAAAAAAACAAAGTTCATTACTCACTTCAGTGGAAAGTCAACGTGATGCACTTGTCGACAAAATAAAGGAGATGAAAATAGCTATCAGTCGAAAAATGAAGAGTATAAATACGGTTGTATTAAATATTTTTATTTTTTAAATATTTCAAATGGTCTCGGGTACTTTAATTTATTGACAAAATGTCTAATAAAACCCATCAAATTTAAACGAAATGTTAGAAATTTCTTATTTATTAGTCTTATGCGTTGTGAATATTATAGGATAAAAAAGAATTGGAAAAGAAATTGGGTGACCTAAAAAAAATGGAAAGTATTAGTGGCGGTGAGGAAAAACATGGGAAAAATGCTGAAGAAACTGTTCGAAAAGCTAGAAATAAGTTGGAAGCAATCGCAAAAGGCATGACAACTGACGAAGAAGGTCACGTAATAAGTCTGGATGCTCAACTGACAGGTTGAATTCGAATTTTTTATTTTTATGCAGTAATTTTGGATTGTTAACAATAATTAGTTTTTAGATTATTTATCAGAAATTATTATTTTAAATTATTTATTTATAAGAAGGTTATTTAATACGAAAGCAAGAAAAGGTATTTAAAAATTAAATAGAACACTAAGATAATAAATGGATATAATTGAAAAACTTAAATTACAATAAAGGCGATGAAATTGGCTTATTCTGTGAGAAGTTGTGCCTTTTGTGATTTGAACATCGTTTCATCTTTTGGCCATTTTTTTTAAAACGATGAAATAAAAAGTTGTAATTTAAATCCCTTAATCAAATCCGATATTTATTTATTTATTAAATATATATGTTGAATAAATTGCAGCCCAAAGAAGTGCCCTTTGTGATCTGGATACTAAATTGAAAACTGCTGAAATGAAGTATGCTTATTGAAATTGTAATTGATGATAATTCATAATTAAATCGTGGTTGCATTTTCTATTTTCCATGTTTTATTTACTTTTGAATTTTTATTGAAATCAGATTGAAAAATCTCGAGTCGTCTTTATCTAAAAAACGGAGGGAATTGGGCTCCTTGGAGCGTAAAAGTGGTAGCAATGAAAAGCTCAAATTGGAAAGAGAATTACATAAAGTGGAGGTGATTTCTTTACTGTTAACAGGCGCCATTCATTAAAAGAACTTCAATCGTAATTATTACGACTTTTTTCCTTTTATCTTTCATTAATTCTAATTTGTTATATATTTTTGCTTTTTGCTTTATTAAATATTCTAAAATATTTTTATGTCACTGAAAGTTTTTTTATTTTAGAAATAGTTAGTTTATTAATGAGAAGCAATATAAACCACTTATTTTTTTTATCAGATGGAATTGAAAAACTTAAATTACAATAAAGATGACGAAATTGGCTTAATCAATGAGCGTCGTACAATTGTTGCTGAAAAACGAAAAATTTGTGACGAAATGGATGTATTTGAAGCAAGGTAAAATTAATATTACATTTATCGTTTTAAAACAGCGCAAATGCTAAATATAAATTTAAAATTGTACAGTTAAAAAAAATTTATAGGAATCAAAATTTGAAATTTGATTATAAAAATCCATGTGCAAATTTTGATCGACGATTAGTGAAAGGTGTTATTGCAAATCTTTTCACTATTAATGATATGCGTTTCGCTACAGCTTTAGAAGTTGCTGCGGGCTCAAATGTAAGTTTATTCATTTTTCATCGAAATTTCTGTTAAATTTTATTCATTTTGCATATTGTAAACAAATAAACCCAACATCATAAAAGTTTTTGAAATTTGCATAATTTTTTGATTTTTTAATTTTTTGCTTAAATTTGGAAAATTCGTAAATTTGCAGTTTTCCAACCTTTTTTTTCTTAATTTATCGGTCAAAGTGCAAGAATTCTTAATTATTAATAATATTAATATTATTAATAATTCTTTATTACCTATTATTTTAAGAATATCTTTTTTTTTATGAAAACATCTAATTCTGTGGTATTTTATTTTGAGATCAAGTTTAACTAAAGAACTAAAGGTTATGAATTATTCGAATACTTTATTATTCTCTGATTATCGTCTCTGAAAGTCAAAGTTTCAAATTCTTCGATAGGAGTAAATTTATCATTAAAAAAACCTGGTGATACTGGCTACCCACTTTCTATCGTTTAATAATCTCTTGGCAAAAACCCATTGTGATAATTGCCAGCGATACTAGTCTAGAAATGGTATGCACTAGCCACTTATTTACTTAGGATATTATAGCGAATGTTTTCTTAATGGATTTTTCTTTTAGATTTAAGTTTATCTTTTCATTTTATATTTTATGCCTCTTTCCCTTTACATAATTTTATTGGATAAAAAAAAATTTTATTCTGTTTATATTTTTTATATTTATTCATTTGAAGAAAACCATTAAGGGCCTAAGCCATGAATTTTATAATCAATAAAGAATTAAGATATAAAAATAGGAAATATATCTTTAAGATATATATTTTTTCATTATTTTTAATAAAAATATTGGGTAAAACATTTGTCGACATTGTGAATCGACTACTTTATAGATAATTTATTCCTTAAACCAATAGATATAGTTTGGGCCAAAATATTTAATTTCATTTTATATAAATAACCCTTTTTTTTCTTACACTGGAAATTGATGTGGGAGAAAAGATTTTTCAAGCAAAATATCCTCGTAAAATATGATTTATAAAAAAACGAATTTCCAGAGTTCCCTTCCAAACTGTTATTTATGGTAGTTGTAATTTTTTGTTGGATTTTATCGTTTTTAAGTGATAATGTAATGATAGTGATGTTTTGAATTTTTGGTATGCTGTTCGATTATATATGCGTGTAGGGTTATTTAGATAAAAGACTTCCAAACTTATAAGAATCCTTTTTTTGGTAATTCTTCATAAGAATGTATTAATATCAATTCCTGAATGCGATCAACATCAAGTGAAATTCTATTTTTGCGAATCGCTATTGAGAGCAGAATTACGCCATATAATTTACTGGATTGATAATATACCACCAGCATACATTGGTTCACGATAGAAGATATATTCTGTATAGTGTGCCCAACGTTGTTCTTCATATTCACTGCTGTTACGTTGGTGCATAAGTTCCTTAAATAATTGGCTTGCTGATTTGTTTGATCAGTGGTTATTTGAATTTCAGTGGTTATTTGTTTGGAGAATAAATTTATTTTTTATTTTTTCTATTTTTTGGAGAATTTCTGGATTAGATTTAGGCATTTTTCTTTAAAGGAAGTTTTTTTTTTAAAAAGATTAGATGCTGTTTAGATATTAGATTTTTTATTTTAAAACTAACTTGTTGATTGATAGTGTTTTGATTCGAACACATGGTAAGGCCAATTGGTGTCAAACCATTAGCTCCACTGCAACATGTTGCTACAAGTTTAAAACCCTTTTCGGCTAACATATCACATGCCTAAAAGTAATTTTTACATTTATATTCTTTAAAGAAATTAGGAAGTAGAAAAATTAAATTAGTGTCTTTAATATTAGTAATAATGGCTGAGTGGATTGTTGCTCAATTGGGAGCTCCGATGCTGAGGTACGATTCCCCGCAGGAGTAAAGCTGTAAAAAATCCAGGTGATGCTTGCGACTTACTTATATTATATTCCTATCACCAAGGGACACCCTGGCGTATTGCCTCAAATGCGACAAGTCAGTGGAGCAGGAATAGTAAGGACTCGTAAAAAAAAAAATTTCATAATCAGGTTTAAAAGGCTTTTTATTTTAGATTAATTTATGTCTTTTTAGTTATTTTCCTGATAAGCCATAGTCAATAATTTTTCTATTTTTTATGATGGTTCTTCATTTTCTACAAATATTGATAGTTTTTATAATCATCTTTATAATATTGATAGTTTTGATAATTCCAAATCATATTCTTTATTACTAACCTTCTCGAGACTTTGATGTTTAAGATATAAACGAGATGTGTATCGTTCATATTCATCGCGATCGGGGTCTCGGCTATCATTAAGTGTGTCACCGAAGACATCACGACATAATGTTACTTTGCCACAAACTAAAATACGTTGCAATTTTCGAAATTTCACATCCGATTGGCCATCTCTCCCAAAGGCGAATGTGCCTCTATAACCAAGCGTTATATATCCACCTGTAAGTAGTATTTTTAGCTCTTTTTCAAGTTTAAGATGCCTTATAAAATTATAGGAATTTGATTTCCACTCAGATTCATTTGTCCTTGTTTTATATAATTACAGTCGAATGATATAATATTCAGTTGGTGTTGTGCTGAGGAGACCCACATTTATGCGCCTCCATCAAGTGATTGATTCCTTAGTGAAAATATTTTATCCTAATAGCCATTAAAATAAGCCCAACTGGTTTTTCGAAGAAAAATATTTAAATAATTAAATTTTGATTTGATTTTGAATAGATCTGATTTTTTGAAAGGATCTTTCTTAATAGTTTTTTGGGAATTTAATCAATTTCTATCTCTCTTGTTTTCCATGACAAAACGTGAAAATAAACAGAATTTCTAAGCAAAATTTTTTAAATTTTAAATTCATATTTAAATACTGTGTAAGGAATGGAAGAAAATTTATTTCTTTGGATAGTTTGAACTAAGATGATTAAAAATTTCTATTGAAACTAATGAAATTCGATTTATTTGATTTCATAAATAATTTCTTTATCATTTAATTTATTGGTAAATTAATATATTTTTGGATATTTTGAGAATTATTTTAATTTTTAGTTGATAATTTTCAGAAATTTTAATGTTTTATCTAATAATTTTATATAATTATTTGATAATGATAAAAGATAAAGGATATTTAAAATATAAAATATTATTTTTCATTCGAATAATAAGTTTGATAATTTGTTTAGAACAAAAAAAAAATGATATTATTGTTAGTTGAAATAATTAAGAAAGAAGTTTAATTACGATAGAAAATGCAATATTTGCTGAAGGCAAATTGAATAGCTTTCGTTTTCTTCATTTGCAATAATTAATTTAATAGAAATTAGTTCGAGAAATTTTTTGCATGAAAGTTCACAAATGAATTCTTTAAATACAATAAATTTTGATTTTTTTTCCCTCCTCTTTTCCCCATCCCCCCCCCCCCCCCCCCCCCCCCCCCTTCCCAACCCATTCTTTTTCAATGAATTGTCATCTTAAAAAATTTTTCATAAATATTTAATATCCTTTTTTTTAGATAATTTTTCTGTTCTAAACTTTTTTTATAATTTTTTTGTTTCTCTAGAATTTTTGGTTATTTATTTATTTATGCGCAAATAATTTTTAAATGGATAAAATCGATCAGATAATAAATAAAATTTTCATAAAATAAAATTGGAATTTAGCCAGTTAATAAGAATGAAATGAAGTGCAAAAAGGAAATTAAGTAAAATAAAAATTGGCGCACAATTAGAAAAGTTGAATTTCTCTGGAAATAAAATATCTTATTTTACTAAAAGTTCGATTCGAATATTCACAAAAATATTACCCTTTTTTTTTAATTCGGAAATTAGTTGCTTAAAGCGAGAAAAAAATAATATTCTTTCTTTTTAACTAATTTTTGGTAAATTTTAAAAAGTTGAAAGGAAAAGCGAAAAAGCATTAAAATGATAATACTTGTAAAAATTCAATCTTTTCAAATTTAATTTTTAAATTTTATATCACAAAAGTAATTTCATATTTCATTTATTCCTTTTCTATAGGAAGGAAATATCTTCTAGCGCGTTTTTATATTTATTTTAATTATTATTGGCCAAAAATTGGATTTCACAATTTGTAGTTTTTGATTACTTTTTTTTCCATAATTTTCTTTTTCACAGATTTTTCACATTTTTTTTTCCCATTAAATATAAATATCATAAATATTAAATATTGTTAGAAATCACAGAAATAGTATTGAAAAGAAATAACAAGAGAAATAACTAAATGGAACGAAGTGAAAAGCCAAATGATGTTTTTCAATTTTTTATGGAAAAATTTTTAATAAAAAATTTTTTAATTATTTTTGATAAAAAATGAAAAAAGAGAAACATTCGAAATTGACTTTAAATTCCCAAATCTTTGTGAAAAAAACTTTTTTTTTTACATTTTTACATTTACGTTTATTTATATAATTAGAATTTTAATATGAAAAGGAAAAGGATTAGTGTTATTGTTTCTAGTTAGGTTAAATTCATTGGTTATTAATAAGGTGAAAGATTTTGAGCCAGTTGATGAGAGGACAAGTAGGACAATCAAGAATTCTTTTGATGGCAGGTAGGTTTCTGTCGGAAGCAAAATCCTAAAGCTAAAATCTGGAATCAACCAACAACGAACTCCATCGTCCCATCCCCTAACTTAAATATATTTGTTATCCTTCAAATTAGTATTTTAAATATAATCAAACAAAATTATCGTTAGCTTTATTGTTTCCATTATCATTATCGTTATTGATTAACCAGTAATATTTTTGGTTAATTTAAATGCTATATTTTTGTTATTTCTATGGATTTATTGCTTATGATGAGTGAAATGATAGAAAATTTTCGATTTCTGGATTCGTTCTTTTCTTATTTTAGAAATATTGGGCGATAAATTTTGTTTTTATAAATTACTAGCTTCGTGAAAATTTTATTCTACATTCTTAATTCTATATTCCTATAGAAATCTAATTCGTAAGTTGGAATTAATTTTAACTTAGAGAAATGGATGAATTTTCTTTTTTCATTCATTCATTCATAAGTTTAAATTAGTGCAATTTGATATTATAATTACTATTATTACAATCAATAATTAGTATTAACTGATGTTATAGTAATAATTATTATTCTTATTGCTAATTTTGCCATAGGGCATTTAGTTGGAATTATCAATTGATTGAATTTGTTAATTATGGGCAGATTTAGGTCAAATACTAATCTATAAGATGTATAAATCATTTTAAAAATATTAAAACTAGTCTAAAGTAGAGACATATTTTCAGATTTGGATTTTTTTTCGTGATTTATTCATTTGTCAAATTGAACATAGTAAATGTGATTACGATTGGTATATCTATTGAATGATGAGAAGAAAAATTAGATTTTTCAAAAGAACAATTCAATTCCGAAATGAAATTATTTAAGCAAATTTTCAATTATTCGGTAATTTTCAATGATATAAATTAGTCGTTTCCTCGAAAAATGGAGAAAAAAATAAGGAAAAAAAAAGATGAAAAATATTTTAGTGAAAATATTGAAAATAATAATCTGATAATAAAATTAAAATAGAATTTTTGCTAGGATGAAATGAAAAATTAGAATACACTAAAATTATTTTTACATGTTTTTCTTATTTCTTATTTGTTATTGTTTTGGTCAGTAATTTTGGATTATATATTTATGCAAAAGAAGTATAGAAAAAGATTAGGCGAATCCAAATCGTCATATTTGAATAATTTGGTTTATTTTCATCAACAAATTCCACTTATATTGCTTGCATTTACGCGAAAAATTTATGGTGATAGCGTTTAGAATCGCCTTAAAGGCGCAAAAGCAAAAAATAAATAATGAATGAAGAATTTTGTAAATCTTATATAATTATAAAGAATCCATTCTCGTATTTTAATTAATAATTATTAATAAAAGCTTAAATTTTAATTTTATAGTTAAAAAATTATCTCTAATTTTAGTATTTTTTTTGTGAAAAAAAAAAGAAAACCATTTTCAAGAATTCCACTAAAATCATTCGATTTTTTCTTAACGGCATAATTGTCGAGATATTTCTTCAAATTATACAATTGATAGAATTCAGCTTCATCACGTAAACGAATTAGATTATCGAAATTTTGTGGAACAATTAAGCGTCCATTTCGTAAATAATCGAGTATAAAAGTGAACAAATAACCGTCGCGATCGATGAAATATGATCCGTTTGCGAGGAGTATTGCGAATTTCGAAACTTTTTCGAGCTTTTCGGGTACAAATAACGTCTCGAAGAAGGAATTTGGTTCACGTAGAAGCGTTTCTTTCATTGTCGAAAATGATATTCCACCAACATTTAATTGAATAATTTGATTTGAATCACTCGTCATTTTTTAAAAAAATTTTTTCTTCTCTTTTTTTTCTTTTCTTTTCGTTTTTTTTCCTTTTTGCATAGAATTTTTTTATTGCATCTTAATTAATTTTTTTTTCGTCTTCAGAAAGAGATTTGCAAAAAAAATTGTAAAAAAAACAAGAAGAATTGAAATGAATTGAGTTAATTTTATTGTCCACGAGATTTATAATAAAATATAAATGTGATATGCTTATTGAATCATAAAATAATAGAAGCTAATTGAAAATTAGGAAAAGGAATAACGAATTTTTTGAGATGCCTTGAGACGCGAAGGAAGAGGATATGAGGAAGACGATGATAGTGCGGAAGAAAAGAGGAGGAGCGAGGAGGCGGTGTCGAAACCAGTGAATGATTACTGACTGATTACTGACTTATATGCCACCAGGGGCGTGTCATTTTCATCATCATTTTTTTGATTTACCTCAGGTTGAAGATAATTGAAGTTAGAGCTAACTCATTTATAGTTTTGAAACATTATTGATTGTGTACTAATTTAATATTTAATAGGATATATTTTCATTTCGAAGAAACTTTAAAAAGATTCTTAGAAATTTGTGCGATTTTGTTATTTCAGTAACAGTTTGGTCGATTAAATTGAAATAATACAAACGATTATGAATATTTTGGTAAATAATTAATTTAATTATAGGTTAGGTTTAGTTCCATAATTTGTTAAAATATAATAAAAAAAAATTTGGTGGAAGATTAATCGTTGTTCTTCAGTTCAAACGTCATTTCTTCTTTTTTCAGTTTTTCTTTCTTTTTTATATTTCTTTTTTTCTTTTTTATATTTGTATTTATGTTTATTTTTTTATATTTTTTATATTTATATTTGTATTTTCTTTTTTATATTTTTGCTTTTCTTTTTTAATATTTGTTATGATAATTTTTTGGAAATTTTTTAGTAAATTTTTCTAGAACGAAACTCTTCATTCATAATATCTTGCAAATTGATCGATTTTTTGTTGGCTAAATAACACCAAATTTCCATGTTACCACTTTCACTGTTGAACTAACTTTTTATTTTAGGTTTTTTATTATAATCTTAATTTTTATTATAATTTTTAATTTTTAGCAAAAATGAGCTTTTTTAAATGATGATCTTTGATATTTTAGTCGGATATTAACGAGGTTTCTAAGAATTCTGATATTATTTAAATTGTCCTTTCAAGCATCTTCGCGATATTAATTTATAGTGATGAAAGTGATAATTATCGAAAGGTTTTCAGAAGTCTTTTTTAATAAAAACTTTTCATTTTCTCACGAGAATTAATTTTTTTTTCTAAATTTAAATCTTTTTTGTTTCCAAGTACTAAGTGCTTTAATAATATGTATTTTTTAATCGATTAAAGAATGTTAAAAAATTAAAAAATTTCGATTAAAGAATATTAAAAAATTAAAAAATTTTGAAAATAACTAAAATTAGTAAAATGGTTGATAATTTTTTGTTTCGTCTTTGTTTGTGTCAAAATATTTATTATTTAATTTTTTACTTTTTTTTTAATTACTTGTTAGATTGTTTTGATTATTAGTTGTCATCAAATCGCCATTACACAAGCTTCTGTTTTTGAAATTTTTTCGGCTAAAGAAAAGATTAAATATGATTATTATTGTTACAGTGATAATGCGAATTTGAGAGTAGCATTTCTTGCTAATATTAAATCAAATGAGTAAATTCGAAAGCAAATTGGCTATATTAAATTATCTGTTGAGTTCGATTATCCCCTCGAGAGGTACCATTAGCGCGAGTAAAGCAATTATCAAAAACTAGAAGGATCATCCATTTTGTGCCGTGTTTGCGTAAAAATGTGTCATATTAAATGAAATCAAACCTAACCATAAATTATCACTGCTAACCATTAATTAATTTATTAAATAAGATTATTTTTGCATGATTCGATTAAAATTGTTTTTGATAGATTTCACATGCATCTATCTTCGTACAAATACCACTCGCATTAATGTTTTACAGAGCGTCGTCTGCACTGGTTAGGGTACGTTCTCCGTCGTCCATCGCGGGAGGCACATTAACGCACATTACACGCTAAACCTGTGATGTTTGGCTTCAAAAGCGAGGTGGGCCAATCAAGACCTGGACTGATACAGTCAGGAAAGACTTGGAACGTTTAGGTGGACCAGCAATATATGGATTTAGACGATGGAAAAAGGAATGGCTTCTGTCGACATTATTGCCGACATGACTGCTCCGCTTGGAAGCGTTTTACCCTTGTAGCCGTTGGAGCCAGCCTAACCAGTAATGGTGAGAGCTGTTAGAAATTTTTCATTTTTTCAACTTTTGTACTACTTGATTAATAACTGCAACATATAATAATATATGATGAGTGAGAAAATATCGTAAATATTTTTTGAATCTTTATTAATTAGCACTTATAAATTAAACTGTTGGATTCTGTAAATTTTCAAAATGGATGAATTTGATTTCAGTGATAATTTCAGTGATAATTTATTCTTGTTGGTCTATTTACATATTTATATAGGTAGGTGATAATCGATCTGCATTATTTGAAGAGTTGAACTATGATGCTTGACGTCAAGGCGATATTATTTCTCATATAGAAATTATTAGTTTTTGTTCTAAATTTGCAATAAATCATAAAGGATTATTTATTATAATTTATTTACCAATGCAGAATTTGAAAAAAATTTATTATTTATGGAATAATTTGACGGTAATTTATTGAAATTTATTGAAAAAAAAGGTGTAATATGTATAATGAAATATTAATGTAATAATATTTTTTAATGTTTAATATCTTTTAATATTTATATATTTTATAAATGCATAAATATATATTATAAAATATATATTAAATCAAAAACGACTAAAATTTATTCATACATTTGGTTGAAAAATTATTATATATTTATTATATAATATATTTTAATTTCATTTTTTTTAAATTTTTAATATATATTTTGCGAAAAGAAGGCTCATTTTAATGACGTAATGAATGCATTAAATCTTAATTTTAGTGATTTAATTTTTTTCTTAAATTTAATTTTTTTTCAGTTCAATTTTTTAATTTTATTGAAAATTAGGTAAAATTTAAAATAAAATTTGTAATATTTTTGCCATTTCTTCCATATTTTTATTTTTATTCTGCTTAATTTTTCATTTATTATTAATTATTATTGTTATACAATATTATTGGTTTAATTTATTTTTTGTCTCAATTTTTTTTCGGATTCTAATATCCTTATTGGGACTTTTAAATCCCGTTTAAGCATTGCTTAGAGATTTAGTTACTTTGGAAAGTTGTCAGTTTCAAAATGGGACTAAAATATTTGACGTCAATAATTAGGAATAGCTGTAGGGATTACTCTGAGGCGAATATTTTTTTTAAATTAGAAAAACGTGCTATGTAAGAGGAATGGCGATGAAGAAGATTGTAAAGCATCGTTTCGAAATATGAAACACCAAAAGTTGGGCCAATATTTGCAAAGCAACTTGTCAAATTTTTTTAGCAATAAGTCAGTCAAAATTGATAGCTTGGTAGTTTAATTTTTCTTTTTTTTTTTTTAATGATGTAAACATATTATTTTTTCAGCTATGGAATGTGGTTGTTCAAAATGCTGAAACTGGCCGTGATATTCTTCAATATGGTAATTTACAACGGCGTATTACGATGATACCATTGGATAAGGTGAAAGGTCGCGTAATTGGTTCGAATGAATTGAAGCGAGCTTATAGTATTGTAAGAGATATTTTATAGCAATGTTTTAGAGAGTTTTAATAAATTAAAAGCAATTTATGAAATCAACTTTAAATCGAATTAGAAAATATTTAAATATTATTAGTTATTTTGTTTATTTATTTTAATTATTTCAAACCGTAGAAATCGCGCCTAATTTATATTTTCCTAAAACTTAGCTTTTAAAAGCTTTAATATGGAATTGGCTCATTCATATTTAAAATCTAAGAATTCTATATTTTTTACAACTCTGAAGAATTGAATTGAATATATTTTGAAACCATATTAAACTAACTAAAGAAGAAACTTTTGATAATAATTGGATCTAAATCCAGGCTATGCAAGGATTTTTCTATCTACAGTTTACGCTCAATTTAAGCTTTTTTGTTTTTTTTGTTTTTAGGCTGGCAGATCAAACGTATTTGTTGCGAAAGAACTGATCAGTTATGATAGAGAATTGGAACCAGCAATGAGTTATGTTTTCGGTAATGTACTTATATGTATGAATGATGATATTGCTTCAAAGGTTCATTTTTAGTTTTTCTATGGAGGTCGTGAAAAATGAATTGAATAAATCATAGGGCAAATCGAAATATATATTTTTAATACCAAATGAAATGGCAATATCAATTTTTTATTTATTTTACGTTTTTTTCATTTTATATATTTCTTAAAACAATTTGTTGATTTTATTCATCAATTTTAAGAATTCATAAATTCTATTCTAAATTTTTTTCTTCAGGTTACATTTGATTCGCAAGTTAACGCTCGTTCTGTTTCAATTTCTGGTTCAGATTTTAATCCGTCAGGTTTAGTAACTGGTGGTGAGTATTTTTAATTTTAAATTTACGGCATATCGTTTTTTGTTTTTTATTCATTGGAAACTTGAGCTAAATCTTATAAATTGATGCATATGGATTTAGGTTCTCGACCTAGTCAAGTCGCTCTTCTTATTGAATTGAATGATATCAACAAAAAGCGAAAACGTTTGGCCGTAATCGATGATAGAATTGGGCAAATAGATAGTTTGCACTTTTTATTATTTACCAATGATTTGATTACCAATGATTATTCTTTCCTTTAGGTGTCATTTGTCATGATCAGTATTATTTTTCGAAAACAATTTTTTCTCTTTTCAGATTTTTTTAAAGGTAAAATAGTATTAAAATAGTATTTCCGCTCAAAGTAATTTTCAATTTTTTTTAGTTCAAATGTCTACGTTGATACCACTGAAGAAAAGATTCTTCGAACTCGATAATAATAAAGAAGAATGGTCGAATCGACTTAAAATGATTGAAGAAAATTTGAAAAACAGTCCATTACAAATTTTAAGCGATGAAATAGCAGAAATGGAAAAAGTTTGTTTTTTATTTTATTCGAATATTTGTTGAATTAAAGGATTTCCCTGGCTTTAAATACTTTTTCACCTCTGGGTTATGGGAAAATTAATTGTTTTTTGTTATGCGATTATGCGATTAGTTTTATTGGAGCGTTTTACATTTTATTTTGAGGTTCGGATCTATTATGGTACTTTAAAAGAGAACTATATATTCAGGAAGTGGCTGCAAACAATGAGTTTATTGAGAAAAATTCTAGAATAAAGGAGGAACTAACTAAAAAACTAATCGAACTTGAAAAATGCAAAAAAAATGAGAAGGCTTTCCAGGTGAATTTTTAAATTGTTTAAGGTACCATTTACTTGCTTATCACTTTTCGAAAATAATCATTTTTCGCTTTCTGACTTTTTAAAAAGATTAATGGTGAGAATGTTTCCTATTCAGTTTTACTTTCTTACCTCTTGTGAAATTTTTCAGGACAAGGAAAAGAAGCAAGCGCAGGAAGATTTGGCACAAGCCGAAAAAGAGTTGATGGACATTAAAGAAAGTTTTGAGAAAGCAAGAATTGAATTGGAAACTTTGCGGCAAGTTATCGGTTTACATTATATAAAAATTTTTTTATTTTAAGTTTTTGCGCTGTGATTTTATAGTCGTTTAGTGGTTTGATATTAATATGAAATTGAAGGCCAAAGGAAATTTTCTAATAGGAAATTTTTTTTTGATTTTCAAAAGTTGTTTGATCCAGTGGTTTTCAATATTTTTGTTAAGGCACTTGTTTTTTAAATGATATTTTCTATTTTCCATGCCATTTTTCTCAATAGCCTCTTTGCTTAAATCGGCGACAGCATATCAACATATCATAAATTTTTATTCACTTTGAGTAAATTGAAAATTGAACTTACTCGACATTGCATAGAATTTCCAAAGCTCGGTAAAGTTTAATAAATAAAATTCAATTTAAATCATTTTTTTCAAATCAGATTGCTTTTTAGAGAGGAGATCAATAGTTTACGAAAATCAGCAGCTGATGAAGAAAAAGAAGTCGAGAATTTACAGCTGAGAGTAAATGAAGGAAACGAGGAAATAATTGGTTTGGAAGCAAACGTCCAAGACGAAAAAGTACCTTTCATGACCTCATAATCTCTTTTCTTCTATTAAAAAAAAATTTCTCTAAAACCTATTTCAGAAAAAATTGGAAACAGTTCAAGAGGAATTGCAAATATATAACGATCGGATGCGAAAACATGATGCTCATATTCACGATGTTGTCGATGCAATTAACAACATCAAAAAACGGTTAAAAGAAGCTGATCTAAAAAAAGACGCACTCAAAAAAGATCTTCATGAAATGAGGAGAAGTGTTGAGGATTGCACTAAACGGGTATTTTGAAAATTTTTTGATTTAATTTTCGAAATTTCGACTTTTTTAAGTTTTTTTCATCCATCTGAGCATAAATAAATTGATGTTTTTATTGCCTCTTTTAACTACGGATTTATTTTTAAAATAATGGGCAAAATTTTATTAATTAATGATAATTTATAATAATTAATTTCATGATAATTTGATCTACAATAATATAATCTCTTTATCTTGTTTATATTAAAATTCAATTTCAGGCAGCTCATCTAGAGAAGAAGCATAAATGGATATCTGATGAAAAACGACATTTTGGAAGAACGGGCACAGCTTATGATTTCACGAACTATACCATAGAAAAAGGTAAACATGAACTGGAAGAACGATTGTCAAGGAAGCAATATCTCGAACGAACAATTAATGCTAAAGCAATGCACATGCTTGGTGCAGCAGAGGAACAGGTTTGAACATATATTATGATATTATGATTTCCAGTTGATTATGTGATAGATCATTAGTATCATAATCAATTTTCAAAATATTTCTGGAATAAAAATGGGAAATTTTTGGCTGAATTCGTTCTAGAGTTTTTTCTTATAAGTCGACTTATTTTTTTCTTCAAATTTTCCTCCGAAAGGGATTTTTTTCAGTGTCGTCAACTCGAATTGAAAAAAGAAAAACTGGAAAGCGATAAAGCTACTCTCATGCAGACAATAGTCCAACTTGATAGGAAAAAGGAAAAAGAAATTTTCAAAGCACATGAAAAAGTTAATCGGGTGAATTATTTTTCATTGAAAATTTTTTTAAATTTTTCTCTTTGAAAAATTCATCAAAAATGTATAGTATACTGTTGAATATATTCAAAATTCAAAATTTATGTTGTAAATTATTTACTTGCAAAGAATTTTTTTCGTCTTCATAATTTTCGGTGTGTCACTTATTTCTTATGAATATTGAATGAAGCGCTTTAAAATTAAGCAATATTCAAATATTTATTGCATTTGGCAATGAATAATTCATTTAATTCTTTCTAAATTTTTCGCTAAAAGCCGTTCATTTTATTTTCAGTTTAGGATATCTTCTTTTTTAATTCAGATTTTTATTTTAATTATTATTTATCATTCAAAATATCGATTTATCAATTTTTAAATTTTTTAAATTTTTGTCCATTTCACCATTCTATTTTTTAAACCTTATTTATTTATTTCAGGATTTTGGAAATATTTTTTCAACTTTATTGCCCGGAACAACTGCGAAACTGGAACCACCACCAGGTGCATCATCGGCGCTTCAAGGTCTTGAAGTCAAAGTTGCTTTTAGTAATAAATGGAAAGATTCTCTTGGCGAACTTTCAGGAGGTATGTTTTAATTGAAAATTTTCTTCAATTCTTTTTAAATAAGTTAAATAACCATAGTTTTATCAGGAATTTCAAAAAGGACCGAAAAAAGGTTATTTTACAAAATAAAGTTTTTATTTCTTACATATGAAAGAAAATTTAATTCAGGACAGCGTTCACTTGTTGCTTTATCACTGGTATTGGCAATGCTTAAATTCAAACCAGCTCCTATTTATATTCTTGACGAAGTCGATGCTGCGCTTGATCTTTCGCATACTCAAAATATCGGTGCAATGATTAAGACTCATTTTAAAGAATCGCAGGTAAATTTACAATTAGCTCATGACGTATATTGGCAGATTTTATTTTTCCTTTTCATTGATGTCAGAAATGTCAATTATAAATATTGATATATTTTTTATTTTCTTTTTAATTAGCGTCGAAGATGTCCAATAAAAAATTTTTATTAAAAATATGGAATAGAATTCATTTCTTATTAGCTAAAGTAATAAGTGGAGAATAGAATGGTTCAATGGGTTGGTGCTCAGTTCGGAGCCTAGATGTTGAGGTTTTACTCCCTGTCAAAAAATCTGAGTGATGCTGGCGACTCACCTATCGCCAGGGAACTCCGTGTCTAATTCGACAAGCTAGCGGAGCGAATCTAATCAGTAAATGGTTAGTCCTCTAAAAAAAAGTAATAAAAATTAATAATGCCTTCATAAAAGGTTATAAAAAATTTTCTATTGCAGTTTATCATCGTGTCATTAAAAGATGGAATGTTTAATCATGCGAATGTTCTGTTTAAAACACGTTTTGTGGATGGTACATCGACGGTTATACGTACAGAAAATCGGGATCAGTGGGTCATCGAAAATCCGCAGATTATTCCAGATTTAGAAAAAGAGAACGATGACGTAAGTGTTGCGAAAAGAGCGAAACGCTGTTAGCAAAGATTGTTGGACATATTAAAACATTCATTATTCACCACTTGTCCATAAAAATGCTTCCACATTGGACTTATTTTTAATTGTAAACTGATTAATAATTAATTTTTGCTGTTATTATTTTCATTTTTTTTGTTCACTAATTTTTGTGTCGATTAGCAGATGACGAATTGTGAGTTCCAGTATTTTCTAAAGTTGCTAAGAAGTTGATTAAATGTTAAATTACGATTTTCTTCCAAAACCAAGATTTTAATTTTTATTTATATTTTTGTATATATTAAAAATAACTGCCATTTTTTTTAAAATTTGATCTCCTTATTATTGAAATTTTATTTGTATTTTCAAAAAAAATTTTTTTTTTCAGTTTATATAAACTGGAAATGGAAATTCGAATATTTTTTTAATACTGCTTAAGCATTTTTAATGCATTTGTGCAGGGATTTACGATTTACTGTTTGCATTTGATACTTTAACCACGAATAAAAATCATGAAAACATCGAAGAACTGCACTTCCATCTCCTATTTAGCTCTCGGACAAATGCCTCGATTTTCGTCAAAATGGCCGACGCGCTGCAATACGCGCTAACGTTGGCTTTTAGGACTCGTCATCTTCTCTCGTCACCGAGCAGTTGGGAGTTTGGTTCCGACAGAATTCATTTTGTCAAATGGTGCGAATTGGATGGGTTTGTGTTTAAATTTGTTTATTTCTCTAACGTCTTTTTATTATTGGCCATTTCTAAAATTTTCAAATTTCCGCTGCAAGAGCAAGTTTGAAACTATTTCTCTCATAAATTGCTCTGCAAAAGGATGGTCACTGCAACAATTTATCGGCTAATGTGAAACATCAAATTTTCACCTTTCTTTTTTTTGGAGGCAACGAATTTATATCGTTGAAAGCGAAATCGACAGTCGTATTTCTCGTGGTATGGTTCTCGCCAAGGAATTTCATTTATAATAGTCAGTGAGGCCAGCCAAGTCAGAAATTAGTGACAGTTGACATTGGTGACAGTTTTTAAAATTTTTACTATAGAAAATTTAGAAAATTCGCGTAAGTTTATGTCCGCGTTGCATATTTTCAGTGGTAATAAAGCGAAAAACCTTTTTCTTTCTTGTAAATCATTAGTGCTGGAAATTCTTGAAGCGTCAATTTCTGAGGAGAATTTTTTATATAACCGTTGTGATTTTATGATTTTGCAGAGATCATTAAGAAGGCACGTAGATTCTCATTTGAGAAACGAACATTAAAATTATCGCAATTTCAGTTAGACAACCATTCACAATAGGAAATAATCGAGTAATTGCGTTATTTCTTATCATTCCCCAATATCTTATCAATCCCAGTCTGAGACGGTCGATCGCATCCTTTTTCAAAATCGGCCTGTCGGATTATATTTTTTGCAAATTTTGGGCCAATCTTGTTCTTTGATTAAATTGTTTGAACATCACTGAACTTTTGGCAGACGAAGCGCTATTTTGCATGATCATACCACCACCAAAACCTGCACGCCATCGATCATTTGCAAGTCGAATTGTAATTTTACTTACAGGAGATTTCGACTGCAAAAAAATAGATTTCAGTTAAAGCGAGTGCTGAATACAGCTAAAATTATCACTAAATTATGATTAAATTTATGATAAAATAAGTCGTCTTGGTGATTTTAACAAGGAGCTGAATTTACTAGTTCAGATGGTCTATTAGTTTTTTCCAGGCAATCGCGAAATTCTTCGAATTAAAGAAATATATTTTAAAAAAATTTAATAGAATAAAATTTAATAAAATTTAATATCGTACTTGGTACCAATGTGCATTATCAACTTGTTGTGTTATATAATTACCAATGTATAATGCGATAGTTGCAAGAATAATGAATGCACAACAAACAAATAACGCCCAAAGTGGCATTGATGATACCTTTTCTAAGGGTCCTAAATACCAGAAGTAACCATCATTCATTGAATTAATATACTTGTTTGAGATTTATATACTTAATTTGGGATTTTGGTTCGAAGCAAGCAGTGCAGTCTATTTTTGCTATTCATCATAAACTAATAAAAATTAAAACAAAGTTTTAATAACAAGTCAATTTGAAATTTTAATGGCTTATTTTTAGATTCGTTTTTTTTTTTTAAAAAATTTTTAATCAAAAACTGGCGATCATCATTTGAATAGACAAATTTTACGTAATTTAGACTTTATTCTAGTTAATTGACGTTAGAAATAATAATTCAGAAAGTTGTACAGATAGTTTCGCTGGGCTTCGTTGGTATTTTTAGTCATTTGGTTTGTGATTTCACGTTTACTTCTATCAGTGGACGAAAATGAACGTGAAAACGTGAAATTTTAAAAGTGCAAATTTCCATATTGCGTGTTCCCCAATTTGTATTTCTTCATATAAAACTTCTAATTTAAATTAAAAGAATTAAAAATAGATAGATAGATAACTTACTTTGGTCGATAATTCTTGGGACATTTTCAAGATAGCCACTAATTGCTGAATAAACCGATTGGCTTTTCCTTATTTTTACCGGTTCCGAGAATTTTGACAGATATTCAAAATTATATCTTAACAGATATTAATAATATTAATTATATTATTTTTTGTTAGATTATTATTATTTATTATTATTTGTTAGATTATTATTATTTTATATTATTTTAGATTTTATTGAAGTTATTTTATTTTATTATTTTGGATCTAATTTGAAATGATCCTTTTTTTTTTTTTACTTTTATTTTAACTGCAAAATTTGATGAAGGTGACGAATTTTGAAAGGTTAAACCTGTATAAAGGCACAAGGTATGGCTTTTTTAATTCACCGAAATCGAATGAGCGAATAAACACGAGCATCAAATCCGCCCGACATCCTTCTGTCCACTGGTACGCGAGTTCTTCAGCATAAATCTTTGCCGCAATCGCTAATGTGTGTGGACGCGTAAATTCCATAGAAGGATCACAAATACATAAACTGAAATTTTTACCCACTAAATTACCTTATAATTGGTCCAATGGTGCAATAATCTTTTCGCATTTATTGTTTCTTAAATTAAAATTTTCTAAACTCGAACTTTAATTTTTTGGGAGTTTTAAAAAAACCTTTCTATGCTTGTTGATGGTACTATTACAATAAATAAATGAGGTTTTGATGATGAACAATGATCTTCGTTGCAGAAGCACGAGGTGAAGTTAAGAGGATCAATAAAATTATCCAACATCTCAATTTCCGTTCGAGAAAGAGCGCCTTAAATAGTTTTAAGAATGAATATATAAGCTTTACATATATATACAATTCGTTAATTACTATGTTAGTCGCTAAATCCTCTGACGGAGGGGGATGGTGCCAAAAAGGTGGAAGGCCAATCAAGACTTCGACTGATAAAGTCAGGAAAGATTTTGAACATAGACCAGTGATATATGGACTTCGACAATGGAAAGAGAATTAGCTTCTATTACTGTTAGCGATAGCGTCGGGTCGAACGACTTGGAGTCGTCTTACCCTTGTAACCAGCGGATCCTGCCTAGCCAAGAGTTGTTTGAAGAAGAAGAAGAAATACTGTTTTGTTAATGCCAATATTAATTAATAAATGTTTCCTGCATTTTCAATGTTCATAAATGTTCATTATTTTAACCATTTTAAAAGGCTCTTAAAATTCTTAGAAACTTTTTTCCCTCTAAAAGGCAAATAAAATATTCGTTGAAAATTTACTTGCGGATATCGCTCATTCCTCTGTCTTTATCGTTGAAAAATCCTAAGGACGAATGTCTTTTGCATGATGAAAATTGCGAAACCTTAGCCTAATTTATTAAGAATCTTATTCCTATTTTATTTTAGTTATAAGTTCTCGTCAAGACACCTTTCTGCTTTTACTAACTAAAAAGTTAAACTGAAAGTTAAACTCTCTTAGTCATCCAAATATTCACTTCACCTATTGAATCACATTATAATTGGTCCAATGGTGCAACAATTTCGCTAAAATTATGCAAATGACAAACAAATCACTTGCTTTCAAAAGCAGAAATATAGATGGATCCTCAGGGATCCGATATTTTACTTTTATACAACATCGTACTCAAGCAGCACTGGCTGAATTAATGGCGCATGCAATAAAACGGTCCAACTGATTATTAAACTGATTTTATAATCCAAACAGAAAAATGAGAATGTGAAATTTTCCCTTAGATTTACACTGGGCAAATCGCCTATTGAGAATTGCTTCTAAAGCTTTTTAAAAAACAAATATGCTTACTAGGCTTCAAATCAATCATTCTCCAATGGGCCATCTTCAATTACTTTTTATGTTTTTTTATTTTCTCCAATTCCTTTTTTTTACTAAATTTTTGCATGAAAATGCTTTGCCCATAACGAAAGTTTGTAGTCATCTCATTATACGATATAATTTTTACGTTAAAACATGAAAATATCCATCATCATCGATTTTAGATGACCACTTTTCTTTGTTGAAAAATAATAATAATAATAATGCATGAAAATGAATATTTTATGTTGGCATGACTTTGCAAAATTTTTCATAATAATTTGATCATCGATATCCTAATAATTCTAATTCTAATTTACAATATTTTATTAATATTTTATTAAACTAGAGAATTTTTCTTTCTTCGACTACACATTTTCACCATTTTCTTGAAATTTTGTAAATTCGATGCGCTGGATCGTGGATTAATTGAATTGCTTTTTAGTCGTATAAAGCAGAATCGTCGAGTGGTAATGTTATTCGATTAAAATCACGGCTATCCTCATAAGTTCTTGTTGCTTGATGGGAATAAACATGTAATTGATCCCGATGTTCCACAGAATTCATTCGTATTTCTATCCTCCCCCCACGCCTCCTTCCAAGTGACAGAGAACGGGTTCAAATTTTTGCCAGTGCAACGAACCAGTTGAAATAAAATGAAAAAAAAAAGCAAACCTGAAGGATCGCAAATATATGGTTTACTATGATAGTTAAATTGGCAGAAAATATCAAAATTAATTGAAGAAGGCGTTGGAACAAAGCATGGAGCGCTCATTAGACCATTTATTGACGACATTCTTCCCAATGGGCTGCAAAAAGACTGGAAAAATTATTAAAGAATATTTATTTTATCATTCATTTTTATTATTCTATTATAAATAAAAAAAGAGATTCTTTTAAAGTTTTAACTGCACTTTACGCTATGAAAATTTTGCAATAATCATAAATAATCATATTCAATAATATATTATTGGTTTTATGAATATTTTAAATGGCTATCGAAATTACTAATCTATATTAATGTGCAGTAAGTGGCGTTGATAATGCCGAATAATCTGACGAATCTCATTCTAGTAACTAGCAGCCTAAAGCCAATCAAGCCATGAAGGATCCCAACCTAGAAGCCAGCAGCCCAACGCTAATCGAACCAGAAATGGAGGGATTTTAGAAAAAAAAAGGAATAAAGATTTTCTAGCTAAAAATGACTATACTTCTTATAATAATTAGAATGTAGTAAATAGTAAGTAAGCGATTTGATTATTTCTGGCTAAATTTGCTTTGTGATTTATATAGCTAAGCAATGATATGATTTCACTTTTTCATCATTTAAATACGCCTTTTATCATTTTTATCATTTTTTTTATCATTTCAAGAAATATTTAGAAATAATACGTCAATAAAAATAAAGATTGAATAAAGAGTAACTAGAAATGTCTATCAAAAATTGAGACATCCAAAATAATTTGTTATTTAACTGCAATTTTTCATATATTTGCGTATATATATTTCTAAAAGGCATTTTTAGGCATTTTTAGCGAAAAATTTTGTCGATTTTATCGATAAATAACAATAAAAAATTGAATTAAACAATATAACGAAAAAAGAACAACAAATAAGACTTATTTTTCAGTTTTTTGGTTTATATTTTAACGCTGATTGAATAACTAATGAATTTCATTCAACAACGAAATTTTTGATCGTTGTTGCTTTTAGCCAACCATAGTATTAATATTTGTGACGAATGACTAAATGAATGCAAATGAAAACTTTCCGGAAAGTTTTCCGGAAATTCCGGAAATTTATTATTATTATTAATCAGAGTATTACAAAAGCAACGTTGCACAAAATAGCAAAAATTTAAGAAAAACCACCTTCTTACTCACTCAATTCGACAATATTATTGTACAATTAGAGCAAAAACTATCAGAATGGTGCTTTGGTATTTTTTTATGGATTAATATCGGATGAAAAAACGTGGAATCGAAAATTTAAAAAATAGCTTCTTTTCTAAAAAGTCTTCCAGCTACCACCTTTTTTGTTATTGGTACCACTGTTGAAATAGATTTTTATCTGTACTAATAGTCAGTATTGCCAACTTTTATGGTCCCGAAATTGAAATTTTATCATTTTTAAGATCGTCAAATCTGCAATTTTATTAAAAATAATATTTCAAAGCAGTTAACGCTTGGGTATTCACACATTTTTAGGTCGTTTAACCTTTTAATTTCTTAATCTAATTGGATCACTATTCGTAAATTATAAAGTTTAGAAAAAAATTATAAATCTATTTATAAATTTATAAATAAATTATAAAATTTGTAAATTACCAAATTTCATCAATTTTCATTGTATTTAAAACTATTCATTTAAATTCATTATCAAAAATAGTCAAAATTAATAAATAAGAAAGACTAAAATGCAATTTGAAAATTCGTTTAACTAAATAGATAGTATGATTTAGTGGAACGCATTTCAGAGTACCAGTATAGGGGTTTTAATCCTTGCAAGAATAAAGCCTGTTTTCACAAATCCAAAATCCCGGGTGGTACTACTAACCGATCTATACTTCTACCATCAAGTGATCCTCTAGCAAAATGTCTGATCCTGCAAGCCATAGGGTGGGAGCCTAATCAGTAATGGTGAAGCATTCTTTGAAAAAAATTGAGCACCAAGATTTTTGGATTTTTTGAGTAAAATATAAAATTTTTCTATGAATTCATCTATATCTTCTTTTTTTATAGATAAATGATGAATAAAATAAAGAAATTGACAGAAGGATTTCTTAATGAATTTAGCGGATTTTTTTTAGATGTATTTTTTAGAGGTATAAAAAAGGGAAAAGAAGGGAAAAATGGGAAAATTCATAGATTTTCACGAATGATATGATAAAGATTCCTAGCTAATTTGTTATTCTGTTAAGAGTATATCGAAAAATTTTTCGGCTTTGGCCTATTATATAACTTCAGAATTTTAGCATTTATTAAGCTTGGCTAAGCATTTTTTTCTCAAAGAATCTGTACAATACACGAAGGCCGAATACAAAAAATCCCCATTATTATTTATTCCCTGTTATTTATTATTCTCTATTTTTTCAATCTCAAACAGCACATTCAATATATTCAATATTATCTTATTTTTATTAGCACTTTATTTTCAACTTTCAAAGTCTACTTTCATCTACTTTTTTACCTATAAAATTTATTGATATGCCTTTGATTAATTGCCTGCAATTACTTAGATTTGTAAGCAGAAAAATACTATAAGTTTGCAATTCTCAGTTTCATGTAAATAAGTGGTTGGTACCCCCTTTTGGGTTAGACTCATCCCACTGGGTGTTAGTACGGTTGAAAGTATCACCATGAGCACAATCCGAATTCTTTAATGAGATTTGTTCTTGCTGAGAAGCCAAGCTTTAATGCGACAATTGTAGCTGCTATCTACTCACCTCTCCTCCTCTTATTCCAGTGATAAATTTGAGAGCGAGGTAACAAAAAGAATGGAATAAGTGCTAACCACAAAATTCCAGTGCTAAATTGGCAGCGCATGATATGAAATCTTTTCAGGTTGTTTAAAGTAAAGATTTTCATTAATTTGATTAACAATTTTTCTAAAGAACCCTCACCATTACTGGTTAGACTCGCTCCCGTGGCTTATCGCACTAGACAAATATGCCAGGGAGTCTCTTGGCGATAGAAGTGCAGGTAATTCGCTAGCATCACTCGGGAGTAGACTCAGAAACTCTTTTCAATTTCTTATGCATGAAAGAATTTCGTTTCATGCTTTCCACCGAAACTTTCGAATGATTTCGTTCTTTTATGATGTATTAGTTCAATTTTCGGAAAATCTTCATTTATAAACGGAGAAAAAATGTTGGTTTCAATTTTACTTAAAGTAGATCCAGAAAAAATGCTAAAAAAATTCTCTAAAAGTATAATTATAATACTTCAAAGCAATTGAAATTTCGAAATTTGAATTTTCGACGTACTTTTTGTATTGTGGATTTGAAGCGAAAAAACTCATTTTCATTTCTACTAAATTCGATTAATTACTTTATTGATTTGATATCAAATCAATTAAAAATACCTATAAATTTTTTGAAGGCCAAAACAAATTTGAGCGATTAGCGAACATTGAAAAATAATTGCTAATCCAGTCGATCTCCATTGTTGCATCACAACATTTGAAACCTATCAAAGAAGCGAAAATGAACTACGAATAAAAATCATATCGTCGATTCTTCCACATTTCTCATTAATATTTTATGAATTAGTGATAAACTAAATAATGTAACGAATATAAACGACGATCGGTTCTAATTATCAATTTATTTTAGTGATAACGAAGATAAAATGATTTATGCTGAGAGAAATATTCCTTTTGGTAATATTCGCTGCTTCATTCCCTATTAGGATAAGAGCTCTTCGCCAAAGGGGATCAGATTGAAGTGCACATCTCAGATACTTATCATACTCTAACATTTCTTGTCTTAGAAATCTTTAATTCTCATTAGTTCTCAGCGGAATTGGCCGAGTTAACTTCTTAAAATTGATTGATGCAAGCAGAAATAAATTAATAAATAAGTAAGTTAAGCAAAAATAAATGTAAAACGTATATTAATATAATAAATTTAATTAATATTTTTAAGAAATTTATGTAAAATAATTTTTAAAGATGTTTTATGCAAAATAATTTATTAAAAATTTGCTATCTAAAATATTTTTTAAAAAAGTATTATAAAATAATTATTAATGAATATAATTAAAAGCTTACTATTATTCATTATTATTATTGTTATTATTATTATTAATTATTATTGTTATTATTATTATTATTATTATCATTATTATTATTATAGTGAATTAAATGCGAAATTTAGCAACACGAAAAATTATTTAATCCATAATTCGACGGCTAATAGAAATTTAAATTATAAAATTATTACATTAATGAAAAATATTAACTCATCGAAAATTGATTAAAGTTCAGTTGGCCATTAATTAAATTAAATATTTTATTTATTTTCTAAATCGACTAAATCGATTTTGTTGATTTGATTGGTAACAATTACAGTAGAAATTAGCAGCAAAACGAGATAATTCGTCTACGATCAGCTTTTCGAGTAGTTTGTTTATTTTGAAATCGCCTCATTTCGTTGAATTAGTGGGCAACAAAAATAGAAAAAAGAAGACAAGAAGCTTCGATATATTTCGTTTATTCATCTTTTTTTGCTTGCAATAATTTAGCGAATATGGCAAGAAAGCTATTTTGGACATTAGACGTTAGATTATATTAATAAGTATTTTTTCCTTAATCACCAAAAATAGTTTAGTTTCCATGAAAGTTTTTAGATTCGTTTGTCATTAGGTCAAATAAAAGGTAAAATAGAAATATATTTTTAAAATATTTTAAATATACTTTAAATAAATATATTTTTAAATGTCAATGTCAATAGTTATAATAAATATTATTAAAAATATTATTTAACAAAGAAATATTTTTTAATATTATAAATATTAATTTAAAACCATTTTAATTATTTCATTTCGTTTAAAAGAAACTTGAATTTTTTGCAAAATTATTTCGAATGCTATTTTATAATAAAATACGGTAAGTAAAGAGTTATCGTCACTGATAGGAATCGTTATTTCTGGCTTGGCTGACTTCACTTTTAGATGAGAAACCTCTTCGGTATGGAGAAACTTGGAAATAATAATCCATAGCAATGGATTGAATCCTAATACAATACGAATTTCATATTCAAACAACCGGTTTAATGGGCTACGGGTCGCGAAATGAGCTCATGAAACACACGTTATGGCATGATCATACTGCTATTACCATTTTTTAAAGAGTCCTTACCATTGCTGGTTAGACTCGCTCAGCTGGCTTGTTGCACAAATATGCCAGGAAGTTCCTCGGCAATAGAAGTGTAGGTGAGTCGCAAGCATTACATGGATTTTTGGACGGGTTTTTCCCTTCGGGGAGCAAAAATCTCACCATCGGCGCTCAGAATTTAGCAGCAATCCATTGAATCATTCTACTCACCACTGTTTTATCACTCGACACACTAATCAATGAGTAATGTTTCTCATCCTTGAGATTATTTCTTTAAAATAACCCATTCAACAAACAAAAATGTGTAAAAATTACAGTAGTAATAGATTTTATGAAACTATTAAAACTACCAATTTTAATAAAAGAAAAAATGCTTTAAAAAGGAAAATAAGAAAATATTTATCTTTTCAAATCGTAAATTATCACTGCATTAATAATGGAAATAATAAGAAAATAATGGTAATAAAAAAATAATAATGATAAAAAAATCTTAATCGATATTATAGCTGTAAAATTAAAGGAAATTGAAAAACTTGAAGGAAATATTTTTTACTTGCTAATAATGAATTAGAATAGTAATAATGCTAAACGGATGGAAATTAAAGAAATTTTTAAAAAATGGAGATTTTTTCTCAAAAAATCAACAAAAAATCGATGGTGAAAGAAAAATTTTATAAAAATTTCCTTGAAAATTTTTTAAAATTCGTCATAGGGCGTTTTTCATTTATTTCAAATCATTCGTCAGTTGGTTAAATTGTTACAAATTTAATAATAAAAATACAATTTAAAAATACAATTAAATAAGAAAATAAAATGATTTTAAATAAACAAATAATTTGAATGAAATAAATAAAATAAAAAAGGGAAGAAAAATACGATTGTAATTCAATAGAAATATTTTTGGAAAATTTTAATAATTTAATTATTATTTCACTTATCGCAGTTAATCTCTTTTTTTTTAAATATTAATTAAGACTTATGCATAATCGATTCGAGCAATTTTCCTCAAATTAGTTTAAAAGAACTGAATAATTGAGCGATATTTTGCTTCCTATTCAAGCCATCATCGCTTCGATTCCTATTCATAAGGGCAAAAAATCCGTTCACTAGAACTGAAATCATAACGAGTTTGTACTTCTATTTGCAAGTGAAGGAGTTTTACTCGAAATGGACAGTGGAACTAGCCAAATGAGAAATTGCAAGCGAAATGGATCGATGAAGAAAATCCCTTTCACCAGAAAGTAAAATTCGCCAGAGACAACAAGCAGAATCAAATGGTCCTAAGGTTGACCTAAGGTTTTCGAGAGCGAATAGTCAAAAAATCAAGTAAATCATCTTATATCGCAAATTCCCTAGTCAAATCCTTCAAAATGATCTTTAAATTGAATTGTCCAAGTTGATTTACCCATTTTTTTTCAAGTTTTTATTTCTACGAGACTGATTATTGGCACTGAAATATTTCAAAATTCAATTTGTTGTAAAAGAACAGAAAATCTTTAATAAACTGCTAAATTGCTTATCATATTTCAGCAAAAAAAAAAATTTATTTTAATTTGAAATTTTAAATTTGAATTTTTATTTTTATTCATGAAGACTGCAATGCAATATTAAATTGAAATAATACTGTAGAAATAAAATTGCTTCAAACATTGCTTGTGATCAACTAAGCTTCAATAGATAGATAGGCTTGCGTGGTACCATTTCTTTAGTTTCAGCATGTATGCCTGCTAGTACCATTATTTTTGCCATTATCTTTAGTGATAAATGATAAAATTAAAATCTTATAACGTAAGAATCGAACATAAATTATTAGAATTTTCAGTTTCTAGATTAAAGAATTATGAATGAATTTGGATTTTAAGCGACACAAAATTTTTTTCTTTTCAAATTTTCGATTTTCTTCTGCATTATTGGCAAACGATCTGAGAGAAATTACTCACTATTTATTTGAAGAAAAAGTTATCGGATTTGAATAATTCGCATTCGAATCCTTCAAAACATCCAATTTGAACGCGTTTTTATACAAATTATAAAATTTTTAAAAAAAACTTTATAATTTGAATAAAATAAAATAAAAAAAATTTAATTTTCATAAAAATTTTCATTTTTATACGAATCAAAAAATTATTTTTAGTATTTCAATAGATTTCATTTTAATATTTTTGGTTTAATTCTATAGAATTTGAAATTTTGATTTAAAATTCCATTTTGCGAGCGATTTTTAACAAAAAATGTTCGTTTAAAATTTATCTAATTAAATAATTTAATTAAATCTACGAAATCGGCAAATTTTAAAAATTCTTTAAAATATTAAAATTTAGAAATTTTAAAAATTTGGTATTTTAAAAATTTTATTCCAAAAAACGAGTCGTAAAAGAATAACACTGAATTTCAGCTGAAAATTTTATAAATTATAACAATTTTCGTATAGAACGAATAATAAAAAAAAGTTGCTCCTTTTTTTTAAAGCATTTCAGAAATTTAAAAATGATCAATTGTTATGCTTTTCTTAGAAAATGAACGTTCTTAAAAAATATTTTTACCCTTCCCAAAAAAGAGAACAAAATCAGAAAAAAATTGATGATAATATAGTAATAAAAGAAGGGACAGAATGGCTTAGTGGTTTGTTGCTCAATTCGGAGCTTCAACACTAAGGTTCTATTCCCGGCGAAAGTAAACCTGTGGAGAAATCCGGGTGATGGCGATTCACCTATATTTTTATCGCCAAGGGACTCTCTGGCACATTTATCTAATACGACAAGTCAACGGAGCGAGTTTAACCAGTAATGGTGAAATCTCTTAAAAAATAGAAGAAAGGCCGAACAAACGAGGGGTGAATGGTTCTTAGGGTCCAAGCAAATTCATGAAAATTAAAATCCTCTGCTTAATGCTGACGACCATCGAGTTGTGCACGCAAATACCCAAATTCTTTACACAAATACGTAAATCTCTATCGCATCCAAATAAATAATCAGTGATACCATTTTGGCGAAAATATTATTAATAAAATGAAAAGCGATTTTTAATCAAAGAATTAGTTATTTTGCCAACTTTTGCCGAATTCTCAAGCATATCGCAGCATATCGAGGGAATCGTTTGAAAATTTAACAACATCGCGCAATCGCGGATTATTTTTATTTTTATCAAATTTATTTCAATTCTCTCCGATAACAATTATTTTTGCTCGTCCAAATTTGAATAAATAAATAAATATAACGGCTAGAATTTTTCATTTCAAAATAAATTTAAATTTAACAATTAAGCGATCGAAAATTTATCGAAATCAGCTAAAGCAGAGAAAAATGACTTTTCTACTGATTACGTAAAACTCGCTAATTTTATGCTTTTATCGCATTTTCTGAACGATCTTTTTTTTTATTTATAGAATTTGCACTAACTAATCAGTTGAACAGCCTAAACAAAAATGCTCTTAACAGTGTTTATCACTAATCATATTTATTTCTTATTGAAAAATGTAATATTTTCAATTGAATAATTTGAATAAACTAAGTACTATATTAATTCAAATATTGGATATGATGAAATGAGTAACTCGCTAATTAATAATTAATTAACTAATGATTTCTCAAATTAGCATTAAATATGCAAGCAAATATCACTCTGAACTGAGACAATATGAAGAGCCAATAGCCAAGGCGGGAGAGCCAAATAGAAATGAGCAAGAGGAGATAGCCAAGAAGTTGTTATTCATGCACCAAGGCCTGAAATCTTCCTTCTGCTCATAAATTAAACCTATCGCTAAAAAATGCCTGAATTTTTTTCTCGAAATTTCTAACCATAAAATTCCTCATATATATATATACATATAATTTTGCCAACGTGCGCGGGAATCATTATTTTTACGCGAATTATCACAGAAAATGAAGCATGTGAAAATACTGATAAAGATAAATAAGGGAAATTCTCAGTTAATATCGTTTTATTTACTTTGCAAATATTAGTTTCTTCACTTATTTTATAGTTCAATAAATTGAATATCTTAGAATATATTGCATTTAATACTAGAAAATTTCTGGATTCTCAAAGAAATTAAGCGTCATAAAGCGTCAAAAGCGTCATAACCGACTTACTTTTAAAAGTAAGTTTTGGTTGGAAAAATAGTATTTTATTGTAAAATAAAAAATTAAACAAAATAAAGCACCAAAAAATTGAGAAATCATCAAAAAGCGAATGACGGCTGAAAAATTTGGAATAAAATAATCAAAAATTGCGGAACCATTATAAAATTTCTGATGAATATGATTTATGAATACGACAAATACGATGTTCAGATTTGACGAGATGATATACAATAAATCAATCATTCGCAGAAAATAAAATCAGAGATCATATTATAAAAAAACATTAATTTTATCACGAAAGGCAATAACAGAGTGGATGAAATATGGTACCACACATTGACCTACCCAATCCAATTAATAAATTTCTTTCTCTTATAATTATTTTCAATAACATATCCACATTAAATGCTTCTATATCCTCAATCATTGATATATCTTCAACCATTAAGCATAATTTGTCGACAATCTGATGCAAAAGAGATCGTATACCACTGCTGCAATGAAATCTAAATTATAAAACCAAAAATAATAAGACTGGTGAAACTGGTAAGTTAATTTTTGTGTAACTAACTTTGAAATCAAACCAGACAATTGTGAATTTAGCAGTTGAAACTGATTACATAGTTCTTCCACTGACGATGACAATAAACATAAAGCTGTTTTCTTGGCCATAATACTTTGCAACTTAAAATTAAAAAACTGATATATACATATATGTATATATATATAATAATCTCCTTGAAATCTAAACATATTTTTATAAAGAACTATAGAAAAGTCTGAAAGTCTGCAATATAAAATTTGTATCGTATGAATGGAACTGCTTCTATCAAAAATATAAATAAGTCAAAATTAAAGAAGAAATCAATTATTTGTAAATTTCTGCACATTGAATGAATACCATTCTTTAGGAAATTCTTAAGCCACCATTGAGCAGAAATATAACCCTTATTAAAATATATTATATTATTTGGACTATTTTGACGATTATCCTTTTGATTAAACTTCTCTTGACTAAAAGACTAAACAGTTAAAGATAAACCTGTGATGAGAAAATCTCAGAAATAATTGTAAGAGGCTGATTGAGCAACGTAATCAAAAGGCACCATTTACGGGAAGACTTAGATCTGACGGAAATAAAATCTACAATAATAAAAACGATATTAAGATTTTCTGGAATAGAGGTTAAAGTTCATTAATGAATTCCGCAAAAATCTAATGGAAATATAAAGTAAAATGATCTTAAAAAATTTATCCTAAAACGATTTTTTCAACTATTCTAAGGTTAAATTTTTACAATTTTTTTGATAAGAAAGTACTTACTCCTTTGATAAAAGTCACATAAACTTTCACGAGCGACGATTAGCTTTAGAAAAAATTTTAAACACTGATTCAACGTATTAATAAGACATAAATCAATAACAAATTCATAAGGCCATGGCAACTGAAATTGATAAAATAAAATAAAACAGCGAGAATAATATCCACAACTCTTTTATAAATGGCATGTGGAATTTGGACCATATAATTTTAATTAATATTGAGAACTGAGAAAAAAAATTAACAATATCAGTTCCCAACGAAATTATTGCGTAATAAATAATCGTAATAAATAATAATTTAAAAAAAAAAGAAAACAAATCCCGCTTTCCAAAAATACAGCTCTATTAAGAAATCGAAAAAATATCAAAAAGTTTCCAAACTTGAGGTATAATTTTTAGATTGCAAAGTAGATCATCCACACAACTGACGGTCCATGAATTGCAACGATCCTCAGAAAATCCAAACAATTTTAATCGATCATAGAATACATCCGAATTAAAGCGTACATTATGCATTGAAATGTCACAAATATTTTGAGTGATTGCTGCTTGTGCGGCAGAACCATTGAAAACAATCTGAACTGATGCAAATGAAAAAATATACAATTATTGGTGGGAAATAATAAATAATAATTGAAAAAATTCAAAACCGAAATCCCGTAGAGTATGCATTTTATTTTTTAAAGGAGCCAGTATAATACGAAAAAAAAAATACTAAGAATGGCAACAAAATGGTAACAAATCTATTATATAAATCTAAAATCAAAATTATTGAAAAATGAAATAAACCTGTAATTCATGAAGTATCAACGGCAAAGTATGATTCATGGATAATGCCTCATAAAATATGGCTGAAGTATGTTTTATGATTTTATCACAAGTTATTTCGAAACAAAAATTTATATCATGCCAAAGAATAAATTTTCCATTCTGATATTTCTCTAGATTTTGCATTAAAAGGCTTGAAAACTCTAAAAAAAAAGTTAAAATTAAATTAAAAGTTAAAATTAAACAACTAAAATTAAGAAAATCAAGCAAAAATTAAACGAATTATAAAAAATTTAAAAAATAAAAAATAAATATCATCATGGTTTTCATCAAGGTTTTGAAAATGATAATCAAACATACGAGGAATCTTTTCGAATTTAATTGGTGCTGAACGTAAATGATAAGCATTTGTAGCAGCAATAAATATTTTCGATACTAATTCATTGGTCCAAAAGATAGATCGGCCTGATCTTGCCTTCAACATCGATAATTCATCTCTAAAATTTTCCATTCTCCTACTGCAAGAAATTTGCCAATACTGTCGTGCTTAATTAAAAATTATAAAGAAATTCATACGAGTAAAATATAAAATCCTTATCATAAATTACATCAACCCGATCCTCAGTGAATAAGTGGTCAAAATATTGCCCAAGTAGCTGAAACACAGAAGACTGCAATGACTGCAGTGTTTCTCCCTGAAAAAACTTTGAAGAAAGAAAACAACTGCTCTTAAAACGAAAAGATAAAAAAGGTAAAAATTTATAAGAAAAAACATACAACGATCGCCGGTCGACACCTTGAATAAATATTCAGGCAAAAGAGATGATTAAGAAACCGATTAACGGATTTATAGCACCACAAATTTTCAACCATTACTGTTGATAAAGCATCATAAACAGTTGATAAGGCAAGCGTATCTTCATAAGTAACATGCAATAATGTTGGAAGCGCTAAATTTTTAAAGAAGTCAGATCAGATCATTAAAAATATCTTAGAAAAAACGATAACGATAAAGACATACTGAGATCATCTCTGCCATATAATCTATTAAGCTTTCGCGTATAAGTACTAAAAAATTCCAGCACAAATTCTTGAAGAAACCTTGCCAATACCGATTTTAATCCCTTTCTTTCAGCGAAACATACCAATGAATTGATCTGTCTATGAGACTCTACGAAAGGCATAACGTAATATTCAATCTAAATAAAAAATTTAAAAACATGCCAAAATAAACCCTTTTATAAAACTGAACACAGATATTAATAACGGAATTTTGCGAAAAATTTGAAAGAAACTAAAATTTTCATAAATAAATAAATAAATATTGCATTTATTTTTTTAAAAAAAATAATTTTAAAACACAATTTTAAAAAATATTGACTTCTGATATCTTTCTATCTTACAAAAAGTCTGTAAAATTTTATTAATATTATCGTTAATATTTTAGAATATTTTAACAAAAATACGATTTGAATAAAAATTCATTCATAGTAGGGAAGGCAGATATATTGTAGATCCGTAATAAAATTATTAAAGCTATTATAAATTATTATTAAATTTTTAAAATAAAGATGATCCAATGAAATGAATGATTTGAAATGACTTTCCAATGAAATCATAAAAATATGAATTTAAAAAGTCTAAAAACAATAAAACTTTAGCAATTCGATTAATATTTGTGAAAAAATTGTCCATTAAAAAATCAGTTATAATCACAGAAATTTTAATAATTAGGAATATTCTTATTTTAAAAAAGCATAAGAGAAAAACCGGTTTTTTAAAATATCCATCATAAATGCAATATTTATCATCGATTTCGAATCCACCAGATGGCAAAAGCACTAAAAAAGGGCACGACCTGCATGGGTTGAGCAAACTGTAAATTAAAATTTATTTTAGCGACCGAAAAAATTTTTTTAATTCATTAGTTTAGGGTATCTATTTTAATTTACGAACGTTAGAACTAATTCAATTTTATTCAAAAATTAACTATTTTATTTTTCTTTCCTTTTTAAAAAAATTAAGTGATCGAAAACGATGAAAATAGCACAATTAAGAAAGGATTCGGGAATAATCTTAAAAAACTGAATAAACCACAATGATAAGAAATGAATCGATAACTGCTAAGGATATATTTGATTAGCTATGTGTGATGATAATCGTTACAATTTTTAAGAGGAAATTAATAATTAAACAAAAGTAAAACTAAAATTAACAAGCAACAAACAACTTACTTTAAAAGGTGCACTACCAGTTCTGCTTCAGTTAATTCAATAACATTTCTGCGCCATCTTAAATACCAAAAACATATGGAAAATTTTAAAACTTAAAATTTAAGCCACGTTTTGCTTTGTTGCATGAGCCAATCAGTTAACAAAGAGAATAAAATGGAAACAAAAAAGAGGTTTTGGAGCAGAATGGCTCTGGAATGGGTTGTTGCTCAATTCGAAAAATCGATGCTGAGATTCCACTCCTAGCGAGATTAAACCTGTCTAAAACTCCGAGTGATATTGGCGATTCACCCGTGCTTCTATCGCCAAGGGATATTTGTCTAGTGCGATAAGCCAGCAGAGCGAGTTCAACCACAAATGGTGAATGCTCTTGAAAAAAAAACGAAATGGAATCTAACCAACCTATGAGCCTTTGGTGTTAATCAAAACAAAATATTTATTACTAGAGACATTTTAGAATTGTAAAGCTGTTTTTAAATGAATACAACTGATAACTGATTACTGATTACTAATATCATTGATAAAAAAGAAAATACCTCTCTTCTTGTTGTCGTTGAATACTATTAACCAACTGGAAAATTTTAAATTCCTGTTGAGTTGCTCGATATGTAATAACGGTTGGAGGAATAACGATCGTTCTTGGCTTATTTGATAACGTTTCAATGCGATCTATCATATTTTTATTAGTTATATGAACGAGTGAACTACTTGCTGTTTCATCCGAAATCTAAAAATTTTATTTTTTTTATTTTTTTATTTTCAAAAAAATATTTATTATTTAAATTATTATTATTATTTATTTTAGTTATTAAATAATAACTATTTAAATTAGTAATTCAATACAACTATTTCTTATATTATTTTTGAAATTTTTGTTTAAATATATATTATTTTCTACATATATTATTTAAATATAAAATTTTTTTTAAAAAATTTGACAAAAAAATTTCAAAAATAAAACTTCGGAAAATTTAAAAGTTCACCGCATCGAACTAAAATATCGGTCTATTTATAATAAAAAGGAAGAAAAAACAACCAAGAAGAACCTCGTCCTGTGGATCCAACATTGCCACATCAAACTTCATACTAACCTTTGATCTTTGCTGCCCTCAATGAAAAATGCCGTGACCGCGTTTTATCTTTTATCGGCCGCCATTGAAATGTGGCCGTCAATTTTAAACGATCTATTTGAGAGTTTTTATCGTAAGTTATAATAGTAAGAACAGGGAGAGGGAGAGGGGAGGTGGGGGGGGGGGAGAAAAGAGGAGGGAGTGGACTGAAATTAAATATGAAACGGAACGGAATTTCATTCGATTTTTTCTTTAGAAAACCTGTAAGACTCGAGAAATAAGTACCATTTTTTTTATTGAAAGGAGTGATAATTAATAGGTGAAGTAGATAGTCGTCGAAATACCCTCAAATATTCTCAGCACATATTCCAACGTGTAAGTAAAAATTGACTTTTTCAAAGCCCGTCTAATGAAATTAAATCTCCTTATCGGCAGTAACAATCTTCCTCAACTTCGGGTCCTCTACCAGGGCCCTGGGGAATTGAGGATTCTGCGGATATATTATATTGTATCTTAGCTGTTCCTAATAGTACGCTCTTTTGGATGGATGATCTCTAATCCTGGAATTTCTTGAAGCCACTTTTCTAGTTTAGTGACTCCACTTATTGTTTTTGTCTTTATTTTCCAAATCTTCTCTAGTTCCTCTTTCGGTCTTTGGTATTTCTCTAATTTTCTACATCTCATATTCCTTTTTCCTGACGTTCCTGCCGTTTGTTTATTACTATATCTCACCAGTGCTGATTTCTGATTCTTGTCATTACCACGATATCTGGTTGATTTGTTGTCTGTTTGGATGGAGAAGTCCCAGAAGGATTTTCGCCTTATTATTCGGTACGATTTTCTGAAGAATTTCCCATTTAGTTCTGGGAAGGTCTAAACCATGTACATATATTAAGCACATGTAAACGATGACAGCTACTTGGTGTCTTTCAATTGTTCATACTCGCATTTTATATCCTGCCACTGTGTGTTGGACTGTTTCTGGGGATTTTTGCGCAGTCTGGATCTAAAGTCTTGTCTAATGTGGTAGATCTCTGCTTCAATGGATCTGGTATATTTGTTGCTTGCTGTTATAATGCTATGGCCAATGCCTCACCGTTGCCCTTTAGTTATATCTTTGCAAACAACTACTGATAGAATCCATCAATATTAGCTACCTCAGCAATTTGTCACAAACCATGGAGGGTCTTGCTTTGCCATGGTACTTCCTCTGCTTAGTCTTTTTCATTGTCTGTAGATGTTGCAGATGATCTTCCAGCAGCCCATCTTTTGATAGCATCTTGCTGATGTGTTCCTGAATGCTTCGTTCAAAACAGTGGCTTTCACATTCACCAATCCTCACCGCCTTCTTTCTGGCCAGTGCACCATCTTTATGTCTTAGACTTGAGATGGAAATTTCCGTGCAATGTGAGGAATTTCCGGGTCTTAACATCGGCAGCTTCCATATCTTTTTTTGTTTATCTCAACATGCCAACTGCGTATTTGATGACCGGTAAGGCGAACGTGTTTATGCATGGATATTGCTTTTCCTGTTGAGCTCGCTCTTCAGGATTTATTTTATTCTTTTGTAGGGCTTAGATATTTAATAATATTTTAATATTTTTATTTATAATATTTTTGAAATATGAAACTATTTATTTTTATTAATCAGAAAATGCTCGAATAAAAGAACAATTTTAAATACATGTTGAATTACTGAATCTATATCGCAGTTACAATTATTATTTAAATTATTTTCATGCATAATTTTTCTCGCTGTTCAAGTTTTTCCTTCGGCTCACATCTAACATCAAACAAAAATCACAAAAAAACGCCGTATTCTACAGCTGAATTGTTATCAATTGGTTTTTTTTCAAATTTTAATAAGCAATTTTAATTTTAACAATTTTAATATTTAAATAAGCAAAATCAGCAATCGCTACACAAAGAACTATTTAAGACTTACATGTTCCATTAAACACAACAAAATAGGTGAATGTTAAGTGAAAAGAGAACCACTATTCCTTGTTAGGGCGAGGCTGGCTGCGATGGTTTGTTGCACTGGGTATGGGAATCACTTGGCGATGAAAGTATATCGTTGCCGCAACATTACGTGGATTTTTGAAAGACTGGTTTACTATTGTCGCGAATAGGTCTTCCAGCAGTCCAAGCTAGATAAAGCAGATATTAGGTTGGTAAGCCATCACTATTTATAAACATAATGAGCTATAAGTCATAAGTCGCAAATCTATAAATCTACAATTATGGTCCACAAAGTCAACCTAGAACCGAAATGCTAATTTCTAATTTCAATCGGAAAGCTAATTATAGGTTCATTTCCTATATTTATTATTGGTATTGGTATTTTTCCATTAACTAATAGTCTTCTTCATTTATTATAAAAGGAAAAAGCGAATTATTTGCCGATCTTATTGTGTTGAAAGACAAGAATTGGGCTTATGCATTCAATGAAAATAAACCTGTCGTTAAAATATTTAAGTTTTTCGTGATCCAAGCCAGTTGGGTCCCTCACCTCTATTTTTTTCTTCGATATTGCAAAATATGGAACGAGATGATGGAATGATTTTTGTTTTTATTTTATCCATCTTATTTTATTTCATTTTCAACTTATTATTAAACAATTCTCGAAAAAAAGAAGTAAATTCGATAGGTCAAATGTGGTTTTTACATTTACCAATCAGTTTATCAGTCAGTTATCAATCAGTTATTTATCAATCAGTTTGGAAACGGTGAAATAAATTTGTTTTCGGAAGTTTTATAAAAGAAAAAAAATTGTCTTAGGCATTTCGTTCATTTATGAATTTTTTTCTTTTTTTTCTTGCAATTTTTATAAAATTTGCTTTTTTTCTTTAGCAGAATTGAATAATAGCAAAACGGTTTTCTAAAGCGAAGAAATCTATGGCGAATATATATTGTAATCTCGAAGAATTTTAATGTTTATTATTATTCTATTTTTATGATTGTTATTTGATAAATCATAAAAATCCTAAAAATATATAAAAATACATAAAAAATATGAAAAAAATAAATGAGTGGAATTTTTTTAATAAGAAATTTTGTATCAATAATAGTAGTTTTAAATTCTCTTATAACCCTATTCTTTTTACATTATCAAATTTCAATAATGATAAATATGATGAAATATTGCTATCCGACGCACAAATACGACAAATCGAGAAACTGAGGGAAAGTAGCATTACTATTCGAAATATATTTATGCATAACTTAATGAAAGTGGTGGGGGAGAATGGCTCAGTGGGTTGTTGCTCAATTGGGAGCGCCGATGCTGAGGTTCGGTTCCCTGCATGAGTTAGCTTGTACAGAAATCCGGGTGATGTTGGCGTCTCACCTGCATTCTTTTTTTTGTATTTCAGTATAAGTAGTAGTAAAAGTGCCGTAATTAAGTGGTATATTACATTCAAAGATTCTTCCTCAAGGAATGGGTCATACCATATGCTGTTTTCTTCAAGTCTTGGTTCCTCCATTTACTCTAATCCCTGAAGTTTTGTCAACATTCCACTAGTTTTTATCGCATCTTAAGGTCGAAAGCAATCCTGGTCATAAGAAGTAGTGAAGATTCGACATCTCATATCGATATATTAGAACTTCAAAATTTCGATAATTGGATAGATAAGCATTGCTTGGATGCTGATGTATTCGTATTGGTGTGTAATGCTAACACAATCTGAAAAAAATTTCTTTCATCGAATCAGCTCAAAAACAAACCGAACTTCGTAACGATAGATGGGATGCAAGCGCTTCAGAAACGGGACATATGCAAGAGGTTAAAAATCTGTATCTGTTTGGCCGACAATTATCTCTTAAAGTGAACGGATAAATGCGGTTCGAAGTCTGGTTGAGAACTTCTGGACTTCTACACATTTTTCATCCTTCTTTTAGAAAACTCTAATCATTTTTTGATTATTTAGTGGAATATTCCTTGTAAATTTCCATTTACTTAGCTTAAGCGACAACATATGATAGGATTCAAAGAGTTTCTCGAGTCGCATTGTCGTCGTTGCCGTTGATATTCTACGAATTCTGGAAATTTGAAAATAATCCATCGAAGTGTAATGAAACAAAGGTAAATGAAAAAATTTCCCAAAAATTTTCGATTATATAAAATTTTTTTTCATAGTTATTTTCATATCTTATGATTGTTAAATATTTTTCAGGAAATAATTTAAGCATAAATATTTCGCTTTTGAAAAAGCTTTAAAAGTGTTTCTGAACAACTGGAAGGAATTTCGTTATTACCGAGTTACAACGCTTAAAAAAGATGGAAGTATTGGAGATAGAATGGCTTAGTGGGTTGTTGCTCAATTGGGAGAGCCGATGCTAAGGTTCGATTTCCTGCAGGACTAAACCTGTACAAAAATCCAGGAGGTAATGCTGGCGACTCACCTGTATTTCTATCACCAAGGGGTTCCCTGGCGTATTGCCCAATGCGATAAGCCAGTGGAGCGAATTTAACCAGTAAT